ACTCTATACTTTCTTGGCTAAATTTTTGGCTGCTGATCATAGAATTCTATTAAACCTGTGAGACACAATTTACTATCCCTGAACTCCTGCTGGTGTGTTACAAAGCTACTTCTCTCCAGATATTCTATGAACGTTTTCCTCACAATCTTCTCCATCACCTTGCATGTAAATGTATTTGTGCACATGTACTATTTGCATATATGACCTAACAGGGTCGAAAGTGCTTCAGCTATTATTTTCCATTTGACTTGTGGCTATTCTACATTTAATAAATTAGCACGTATTGATCTTTGTTGCATATACTGTATACGTATATAATATTGCATTCTAGAATGAACAGCTGTTCTACTTTGTACCGTGGAAATCTTTATGATTAGCTATTCTTCTTTACCCACTGTGAAAACACTTATCATTGATTATTCTTCTTGCATTTCCCACAAAAGAAATGTTAGCTTTACTATTATTTGCCTTTGCCTACAGTGCAAATATTAACTCCACTATTATCTTTTCACTGTCCACAGTGTATACATTAGTTTTGCTATTAACTTTCCTTTGCCCAGAATGGAAATACATTTTATTCACAGTTGTCCTTCATCTACCCATCGCTGAGCAGCACATCCTCCTAAGGTTTCCCCAATGTCAATAAAGTGCCCTTATCCTACCTACCAGAGGACCCAAAACAGAAAATGGGACAGTATGTCAATTTTGGGAGCTGCTCCCATTTTCTAGTACAGTATGATGATTTTAGGCCTTAAGTAGTGTATGTCAAAATAAGGCTTTCTATTAGGAGGACGGATTGTGCTGAGACATATACTATTGAATATTCTTCTGAATCTAGGCACAGTGAAACACATTTGACTATTTTCCTTCCACTAGCCTCAATAGAAACATGATGATTGACTATTTTCCTTCCACTAGCCTCAATAGAAACATGATGATTGACTATTCTCCTTCCACTAGCCTCAATAGAAACATGATGATTGACTATTCTCCTTCCTTTAGCCATGATGGAAACAGGAGGCAATGCTCCACCTCTGACAGTGAGCAACTTCTCTGTGTTGAAGCACTCCGAGTACTACCAGGAGTCGGCTGAGAACGTCCTCCTGGCCCAACGGTTCTTGCTGTGCTCCAATGCTGCATATATTTACAACAAAAACACCGTTCTCTGTGTTTCAGGTCAGTGTTATTGGCTTGCTTCATATTTAGTGTCTTATTACTGTAGTTTGAATTATTCATTCGGTATTCTATAATCAGGGAGAGGAAGCCTCCCTGACAATGACAAACCTTTCCCAGGATGCAGCTCACAATAGTCGACGAACTCCTAGCTACCTATTTACTGCTAGGTGAACTTTTGGGCATGTTTCTTTACATCTGATGCCTCTAGTTACCTAGCAGTAAATAGGTCCCTAAGAGTTAGACAACTGTTGTGAGTTGCATCTTGGGGAAAGTTAGCAGTTGTTCTATGAGGACCTTTATTAGCCAAACAGGCTTTCTTTCCTTGACAATGATAAACCAAGTGGCTACGATGGAGAAATATCTTATGTTGTGCGAGTCAGATAAATTAGATGCAGATGCTGGCATTTTGAAGTTTGTCTGTACATCTCATAAATGTGTGATTTGGATAATTAAATGTGTAGTTAGTTAAAAAATGAATCCATGTCATTCAGTTTCATTCACAGTGATGTCATAATTAACTCAATTTCTCTTGTTATTCCCTCTTCATTTGAAAAAGTACAGTGTAGTTAACCAAAGTTTACTTTTTATCAGCGGTGGGGGAAGGTGACAGTGGAGATCGAGTAGAATTCTCTGGGGCAGGGGACAGCATCCTCGGGGTAGGCCGCTCTAAAGGTCTTCCGCTGTTCTTCTCTGCCAACCATGGCATAGTGTCCATCACCAGCAACCAGCACCTTAACCAGTCAGGGTAAGTTGAAGCTAGCTCTTGAGGTATGCCAGTGTTCTCGAGATGAACATTTGATAGTATACTTTCTTTGAACCTTAATATTTGTCCCCATGGTAAAGTCTCTGACCAGGCCTCCTGGTTGCTGGTTTGACCCACCAGGCTGTTTGATGCGGCTGCTCACATGCAGGATTTTTAGTTATGAAACAAGATTCCTTTTGAGTATATGAGTATCTGCAATTTTTTTTTTTTTTGTTCATACCCTTTTATGTTCATTTTTATGTTTTATGTTCATTATGTTATGTTTATATCGGGGAGCCGGTCGGCCAAGCGGACAACACACAGCACACTGGACTTGTGATCCTGTGGTCCCGGGTTCGATCCCGGGCGCCGGCGAGAAACAATGGGCAGAGTTTCTTTCACCCTATGCCCCTGTTACCTAGCAGTAAAATAGGTACCTGGGTGTTAGTCAGCTGTCACAGGCTGCTTCCTGGGGGTGAAGGCCTGGTCAAGGACCGGGCCGCAGGGACACTGAAGCCCCGAAATCATCTCAAGATAACCTACCCATTTGTAGGCAGAGTTAGGTATGTATGTGTGCTTGTGGCCAGGAAGAATAAGCTCTCAAGGGCCAGCCTCTTCAGTTGTGGATACTGTATTTGGTGCAACCTTCCTTGAATTTCCTACAACTATCTTATATACATCTAAAGCTGTTGTTTGAATTGGACTTGTCTATCTCTTCCTGCGGTTTGTTAAATTTGTTCACTAATGCACTGATTATTTCCCAAGTACCTTGGCTCATTTGTATTTGTATTTTCCACCTTTGTTTTTTCAGGCCTATTTCTTCTCGTTTAGAATTATGTCCTTGTTCATCTTGTTTCAGTATCCTTTGTTGTAACCATGTTTCTCTGGAGCTTCTTCCATCTATTGTCGTAGCTTAGTCTCGTATATTTCTGGTAATATCTTTGAGGTATATCTCTGAATCTTTAAATTGTTTTGCTTGTTATGAGTTTCATACTAGAGCTTTATACTCCCTAACTGGAGTATGTCGATCTAGTATGGAACTACGTGCGGCATAGGCTGCATGTAGTGTTTTGAAGACATTTGTTTAGGTTACTAAAAGGTGTTTGTTTATCTCCCAACCCTATATTTCTTGGTAATGTTGTTTACATGCACTTCCGGTGCAAGACTCAATGTAATGTTGAATCCTAGGCCTTTTTTTTTTTCCTTGATGAGGTCACTTAGTTACTGTTCTTGCAGTCTGCATTGTTCTTCTGGTCATAGCTTTACATTTATTTTGGATAAACTCTAGTAGCCATTTGTCTCCTGTCTTACAGAAATGCTTTTAGGTCCTAACTTTTGTATTTTTATTAACTTTGTACTGTCTGCAAGTTCAGTACTAAAATGAATAAATCCTCTTTCTTTGGTAAGACATATATGTAAATCAGAAAGAAAAGGGAACCAAGTACTGATCCTTGTGGGACACTGCTTGTTGACACTCTTTCTGACTCCATCTCTTGCAGTCATTCTTAGATTTTCTCCTGTCAGGTTATTTTGTATTATTTTGTATATTTTTGTATTTTGTATTCTGTACCTTTGTTGTTATGCCAGCCTATTTCTATATTGCGTAAATCAAGTCTTTTGTGTGGAACTGTCTCAAAGGTCTTCTGATGACTCTGTATTCTTGTGTTCTTGTGGGTGATCTGATCAACTAGGCTGTTTGACTGCTGCTTGCAGCCTGATGTATGAGCCACAGCCTGGTTGATCAGGTATCCTATGTGTACTAGTATGTGTATCTGCTTCCTTTCATATACAGTAGTGGGAAGCAATGCTTTCAGAAAAGTTGAATATTTAAATATTCATGTTGACTGCACGAACACTGAATAAGTATCCATTTGTGGGTGTGATCAGTGCACTGGTGAACGAGAGTGTAGCAGAGGACACATCAAGGCTGTGTGAAGCCCTGAACATTAGCAGCATGGGACTGGACTACATCACCTCAAGTCATGACTACACTGCCAAACTCCAAGCAGCCTTTCTTCACTTCAACAAGAGTAACGTCTCGCAAGCTCAGGTGAGTCTTCTCGCACTGCTGTTTCTTGGCTTTTCACTTTTAAAAGATATGCAGGTGTTCTAGTGTTTGTTATTATATGGATAGCTTTGTATAGAATAAGACCTGGAGGGATGAGAAGAGTGACAGGCTTAGTGAGAGAAAGGGAGGGAAGAAAGTAAGGAAGAATGAATGTGAGAGAGGAGAGGAAAGAAAGTAGGGAGAGGGAAATTTTGGTGGTTGGGATTCTTGATAATATTTTGACTCCTTAGTGTTTTTGTGCTAATTGATAAAAAATGTGGTGGTGTCACTAATTTTTAATGCTTTTATAATCTGTTTTATCTATCTGGGAATCACAGTAAAATGACTATTTAGTAATAATACTATCAACTGTTGGATAATGCTTACCTATCAGTGACTACGAGGGCATGAGATGTAGCACTTTATGCCCTGCCTCTTGGCCGTTTATACTGTACCTGGAACGCTAATTACCCATCTCAATATTAAGGTTTTCATCTTCGTTTCTTTTTAAAGTTGTCATTGTTATATAATTTGGTAAAATAGTATTAACAGTTTGAAGTTAGATTAACTAATACTGTATACTTTCCAGGCCCTGCTGGATGAGCTCTTTCCTGGGTCTGATAACACCAACCTGGATGCAACGGTGATCCAGCTGTCAACCAACCTACTGAATGATTCGCCAGCCAATGACCCTCGGTGGGCCGAGAGCAACCAAGCTGGAGGAGCTGGGGCATCCTTGTCATTCCTCATTCAGAATCAGCTGCGAGACAAGACCATGGCTCATCAGTATTTTATCAGTTTCTTACACCAGGTAAAGTGCATGATGTGTTGTATGTCTAGTATATGAGATGGCCAAAATGTTGCCGTGATTTTGTAAGTTTGATCTTGGTTTCCTTTGAATATGCTGCCGAGTATTGGAGGTTCAGTGCCATGGGAATATCTTTTATCTCTTGTGGAGTGTAATACATGTATGCATGTGTGATAGGATCTTGCTGCTTAAGCAGGTATGAATGTGAGCACATTAGGATCGTGCTCTACATGCAGGTAGGAACGCTTGTGATATCATCTTGCTGTACAGTTGGGCAAGACTGAGTGTAAGATAGACCCCCACTGTACAACAGGTAAGAATGCCTGCACACATGAAGTGCTTAGAAATGCCAGGAAATTGCAAAGTGATTTGTAGATGTGTACAAATTGTAGGTGTGATTGCCTACATCCTTACCGAAGGCAAACTTTGGTCAGTAAGACGAGACTTAACAAAGGAAGATGGAGGAAAGCTGAAAATAAACCCCAACGAAGCAAAATGTCTAAATAGGAATAGAAATGAAAGAGAAAAAATTATTTTCTACAAAGTGTTAGGGACTGGAAAGCTAGTGAAATGGTACATAAAAACAAAGCAACACAATCATTAGAGGAATGGGGAGTAAAGGACAAAAAGAAAGGAAACATGTTCCTGTAAATTGCATATACACTAACATAGATGAAGTGAGATAAAAAATACTGGAGTTAAGAAATATAATTCAGCTGAGGGTCCCAGATATTGTCGCACTAACAGAGACGAAACTTGAAGAAAATATTTTAAATGAGGTCTTATTATTCCTAAGGGGCTACTCAGTTTGGAAACATGACAAGAAAACTAGGAAAGGAGGGGGGGAGTGGCTGTGCTGGTGAAAGAACACCTGAAGGTAAGAGTTAATAACCAAAAACCCTCGAAGTTGACATAATGGTCTTGCAGTCTCTTTGGAATCGGGATGATTAACTGATAATCGTAAATGCCTACAGCCCACCAGCAAGCAACACATGGACAAAGGAGGAACTAGATGACAAATGAGAGGGGTCTCATAATGGTCATGAGAGAGATTATAGTAAAAGCAGCTAAAGATAAATCATGATTGTTGGTATTGGGGACTTCAATTTCAAAGCAATGGACTGGGAGGCCTACGAAGCAAGAACGGAGGACATTTGTACAGGTAGATTTGTAAGCCTCATTCTGGAGACATTAATGTATCAACACGTCAAGCGGGCCACAAGAATGAGGGAAGGGGATGTTCCATCAATGTTCCATCAATACTGGATCTAATATTCACCTGGAAAGATATAGATATTTGACATCCAGTACCTTCCACCCTTGGGAAAGAGTGATCATGTCCTGATGGAAATTAAATATGCTTTGCAATATAATCTGGAAGAGAATGGGGACATGAAACAGTTGATAAACTCGAATTCAAGAGAGGACATTATGAGGAACTTAGAAAAATCTTTAATGAGTTTAATTGGTCAGACTTGTTGCTAGGCAAGGAAGTAAATGACATGTATGCCAAATTTTTCAAAATATATGAGGCACACAAACATTCATACCAAAATGGAGATGCAGGACCAGAAAACAGGATTGGTTCAACATAAATTGGGAGAGGGCCAGAGAGAGAAAAAGATAAGAAAATGAGGACAATATAGGAAGAGGCCTAACCCTCAAACATACCAGCACTACAAGCAAGCAAGAAACAAATACAAAGCAGTGAGGAGAGAGGCAGAAAAGAACTTTGAGAAAGGCATAGCAGACAAATGTAAAACAGATCCAGGACTTTTTTATAAATTCATTAAAAGCAAGCTGCTTGTAAAAGGATAAAATCCAGTGATTGAGAAGGGGATCAGGACTACTGGGGATGAAAAAGGAATGTGTGAAACACTAAATGAACAGTTCCAAAGTGTTTGTACAAAATGAGGATTTCAGAGAACCTGACCCAATACCACTTCCAGAGCATGCCATAGAATACATAGAGGTATCTCAAAATGAAAGGGAAAAATTACTCGAGGGGCTAGGAAGAAATAAAGCAGTTGGATCTGATGGAGTTTCACCTTGGGTGCTGCAAGAATGTTCAACTGAGCTGAGCATTCCACTCCAAATAATATTCCAAACATCCTTGTGCAAAGGAATCTTAACAGATATATGGAAAAAGGCAAACACATTACCAATCTATGAAAATGGTAATTGAGAGGAACCTGTAAATTATAGACCTGTATCATTAACAAGTCACTCACTCTCACGAATCAAGCCTGGCCTCAGGCCGGGCTTGGGGAGTAGAAGAACTCCCAGATTGGAGAGTAGAGGAGCTCCCAGAACCCCATCAAGCAGGTATTAACAAGCTTGGCAGTCAAAACACTAGAAACAATAATTAAAGCCAAATAGGTTGAACACTTAGAGAGTAATGACATAATAACGGACAGACTGTGTGGTTTTTGAACAGTAAGATCCTGTGTAACAATTCTTCTTTGTTCTTATGATAGAACTATCTACAGGAAATACTGTATTATCACAAAGATTTTACAGGAAAGAGATGGTTGTGTTGACTGTCTATCTGGACCTAAAAAAAGGCTCTTGACAGAGTCCCACACAAGAGGCTGTTCTGGAAATGAACATCCTGGAGGGGTGACAGGGAGATTTCTAACATGGATGAAAAATTTTCTGACAGACAGACAGACAGATGAGGGCAGTAATCAGACAATGTATCTGACTGGAGGAGCGTTACTAACGGAGTACCACAGGGTTCAGTTCTTGCACCAGTAATGTTCATCGTCTACATAAATGATCTACCAGAAGGAATGAAGAATTATATGAACATGTTTGCGGATGATGCTAAGATACTGGGGAAGATAGAAGACACAGACAATTGTAATGCCCTTCAAATTGATGTTGATAAAATAAGTGCTTGAAGCATCAAGTGGCAAATGGAATTCAATGTGAATAAATGCCATGTTATGGAATGTGGAATCAGAGAAAATAGACCACAGACAACTTAAAAATTATGTGGAAAGGAATAACGGAACTCTAATAAGGAACGAGACTTAAGGGTGGTTTTGGATAGTAAACTGTTGCCAGAGGAACACACAAAGACCATCGAGAGAGGAACATATGTGTTGCTTTCAAACTTCAGACTTGCTTTTTATTATATGGATGGTGAAATACTAAAGAAACTGTTCATGACTTTCGAGACCAACATTGGAATATGCAGTAGTTGTATGGTGCCCAGATCTCAAGAAGCACATAAGGAAACTGGAAAAGGTGCAACAGTACACTACAAAATGACTTCCAGAACTGAAAAACAGAGTTACAAGGAGAGAGTAGAGGGTGTTAAACATACCAAAAATGACAGGTTGGATAACAAGAACTTTTCACACTAGAGGTGCTATACCGATGATGATACTTTTCAAAATGCTTGTGCTCTCTAGAGTGGAGTACTGCTGCACAATGACAGCCCCTTTCAAAGCTGGAGAAATTGCTGACCTGGAGAGCATGCAGAGATCCTTTACTGCTAGAATCCACTCAGTAAAACATCTAAACTATTGGGACTAACTAAAGAGCCTAAATCTGTACTCCCTTGAGCGCAAGCGGGAGAGATACATAATAATTTACACATGGAAAATATTAGAGGGGCTGGTCCCAAACCTGCACTCAGAAATAACATCACATGAGACCAGAAGACATGGCAGGATGTGCAGAATACCCCCATTGAAAAGCAGAGGTGCAACAGGTACTCTGAGAGAGAACTCTATCAATATCAGAGGCCCGAGACTGTTCAACACGCTTCCGCTACACATAAGGGGCATAACTAGCAATCCCCTCACAGTGTTCAAGAGAGAACTGGATAAGCACCTCCAAAGGATACCTGATCAACCAGGCTGTGACTCATACGTCAGGCTGCGAGCAGCTGCATCCAACATCCTGGTTGATCAGTCCAGCAACCTGGAGGTCTGGTCGACGACCGGGCCGCAGGGACGCTAAGCCCCGGAAGCACCTCGAGGTAACCTCAAGGTACCAAAACTAGAAAATAGAAGAAAAAGTGATATGATCACCACCTAGAAAATACTAACAGGAATTGACAGAGGAGTTTCTGAAACTAGTAACTTCACAAACAAGATACCACATATTCCAGCTAAGGAAACAAAGGTATCAAAAAAATATTATGAAGTTTTCTTTTGCAAACATAGTAGTAGACAGTTGGAACAAACTAAGTGAGAAGGTGGTGGAGGCTAAAACCGTTAGTACTGTAGTTTCAAAGCTTTATTCGACAAAGAGTACTGGGAAGACAGGACACCACGAGCATAGCTCTTATCCTGTAACTACACTTGGGTAGGAGTAGTAGTAGTAGTAGTAGTAGTAGTAGTAGGCATCCATCAGTCTCGGGAGACTCTAAAGTTGCCCTCTGGTTATCGGTCTGGAGTGGCCTCTCCAGGGCGCAAAGCCAGGGAAGGTTGATACGGAGGAGAGGCTGTTACCCAAGCAGTATGTCCTCCCTCTTCATGGCGCTGAAATTCTCCAATGGAAAGGCAATTGCCAATATGATTGGTTCCAGTGCCATTGCAGGAACTGTCAGCTCCAGAGTTGACCTCGAAGTTGGTGAAAGAAGGCACAGTGACTTCAAACCCAGAGACCGCCGTGGTCGAGGCCAGAGAAGAACCACCCCAGCAAGGGCATGAACAATCCCAGCCTCCTGAAGCAGAGCTTGGGCCGCACACGTCTCGGGAGGTGGACTTCCAAGCCCCAGCACCTACGGGTTCCAGACAGAGATCGTCACAGCCCTCTTTCACCCAAGGCCGGCTTCCTTCATGACCCAGCAGAAGGAAGAGTGATAATTATTAAATACAACAATTATTTTTATAATAATTATTATAATAATACATAGGTAATTACTAGGATAGTACTCCACATGCAGGTAAGAATGAATGTGTGATAGGATCTTGTTGTACAAGCATGTAAAAGTACTTGTACAATAAGTGCTTGTTGTAAAAGCAAGCAAGAATGGGTGTGGGAATGAATTTTGCTTTATAATCGAGTTAGAATGAGCATCAGGGATGATTTTGTTATATAATACAGACAAGAATGATCATCTGAGTTCATTTCATTTGACCAAATAAATACTCTTTACCATTGTTACCAGTTACTGCATTTACATATCTCCATGTCTCAGCTGCGTTAAGTAGTGGCCATATATTGCACAACTAAAGGATATATTTCTGCATTAATTCTGGCCCATGATACAATATTTGTTTACTCTCTCGGCTTTACCCAGTGACTGAGAAGGGGTTGTATTTTATGGAGTTTCAAATTTAAAGCTAAACACAAGTTTTTTGTGCTAAATAATCACGATTAGAGTTTTAAACTAAAGAAATGGTGTTATGGAAGTTGATTTTTAGTTTTTAGTAAAAGTAGGCTTTTAGGTTTGTGAAAAGTTCTTTTCCAAGCTATATCCTTAATCTATTTCCTCATGTAAGACTCCACTGTATCCTTGGATGTGAATTGTGCAGTTGGGGAATTTTCAAGTTTTTCTGCAGGGGTCATTATGTATTGAAGAATTCAGTGAAGAATACTCAATCCAATCCAGAAATTACTGGATTAGATTTAGTATCTCTGCTATCAAAACCCTTCCTAGCTGTTGCTCATAATGGCCAATTGATAAGCACAAGTGACTGCTGTACGAAGGCTTTTGCAAACTACCGACTAGGCTGTGTTATTCAATTCCGATTGTCAGGGGGGGGGGTAGCTCCTCATTCACCCCTGGGGTTCACAGAGTGGGGGGGTGGGGTAGCTGAAGGGGTTGAGCAAGTAGCTTATATTCTTGTCTTGATTCCACAAAAATCAAGCCACTATATCTCACAACATTGGGGGCAAACTGCTTGGGCAGAATGGCTGCAACTGTTATTCTGGCCAAGCTGTTTGCCCCAATATTGTGAGATATAGTGGCTTGATTTTTGTTCTTATAACACCAGTGCTCGACATGACATGCTTACAGTACAGTATGTACACCACTTCTAACTTACTCTCACTTCAGGAAATTGTGGATTTTTCCTGCACATTATAGGTTAGAAAGATCCATCCAAGGGGGACATCATAGAATTATATACATAAAAAATTTTTTCGTGTTGCAGACGGGATTGTGGCAGCGCCTTAGTGTGGGCATTGTAGATGAGACACGGGTACTGACACGGATTGTGTTGACTGAGCATGGCGAGAGGTTGGCATTTGCTACAGCATTACGTACCAAATACAATGACCACCAGCACCTCATTGATGCTGCTATCAGGTAGGAAGTGAGGCATTTATTATTTCTTCAATGTTCATGGACCAGGAGGCTTCAGGTCTGTATACCAAAGAATTCTTGAAATAAAAAGTGTCGTAGCTGATAGGATCCAACGCCCAGTCATCAGCGTTGTATTAATTTGGTACTCGTACAAAATTAAACCATTATATGCTTGATAATAAATGGAGTTAATCATTACTATTACCCAGTAGTATTCCTCTTGTATAGGGCAGAGAGGCACTTGCTCAAGAGAGGATGGGAAGGTATTGTAGGATTAGTTTATAGAAAGTATTGAGAGTAGTGTCCAGTCTGCTATAGGTTTAATATCTTATACACTAGTAATGTCAGAGCGAATGCTTATTAGGTATCCTTCATTCCTAATAGTGTTTCGGTTGTTGAATGTTTTGTCCTGTTTATTTTAGTTTTTCAGATAGGTTTATGTTCAATATCTGAAGACTACCTCATCAACTTGAAACTTGCTTATTTAAAGTTGAGCCAAAGTGCAGGTGCTGCTGTAAATGTTGGAGGTGTGGGATTATTATTTTTATTTTGTCACATATTATCAGAATACCATAGCAAATTTGTAATTTTTCTGGGGGTGAGCCCCATCGGCTCCCCGGAGCTAAACCAGGCTGATATGCTAATGTCAGACTTTGGCATCAGTCGTGTGTATGGAGTTCTAGGGCCTACCGGGGACCACGGCCAGAACCTGGCCCCCCTCCCTCAGAGAGGCAAGGGGAGCAATGGCCTATAGAAACCCCCATGTGGTTGGAAGCATTCTATGTCTGCCATTGACCGGGTCAAACATCCAGAATTTAAGCATTGCAAAACAAACCCCCTATTCTGGTTAAAATTGCTACCAAAAGTCGAACTAGTGGATAGAACTCCCCAACAGAAAACAAGTAGGCTAGTATGACTTCACACGTCACCGTGCCGCTGTCTGCGCAGTTTCCCCCTCCCCGGGAGGGGGAAGGGGGAGCCCCAGACCTCTCATGCCGGCTATCCACCCATCAGTTCTTCAGCTGATGCTATAGGCACCGGTTGTGTGCTCCGGCTCCATTAGTTGTTTCAGCACTGTACCTAGAGTGTGGTGTCTGTCTTCTAGGTGGTGTGTGAGCCGAGAGTGAGTCTTCAGTACTCGGGCTGCATGCGCCTAGGGTTACCTTCCCTAGGTACCCTATAAGTACTGCCCTTGGGGCTTGGGGCTGCCTTCCACAAGTTCCTTGGGTTCTGCCCCTGCTAGGCCGTTTACTGTTTGGTTTTCGGCCGCCCTTTGTGTGCTCAGGTGTTCTGTCTCCTTTGTTCGCCTTCGGGTAAGGGGCAGTTTTGGACTGGTGGGGCGCAGGGTGGTGCGCAGCCTGTTTTCACCTATATGGCGGCCGGCTCTGTTCCGCCTGGGTACACTGTCCTCTTGCAGGTTTTTTTTTTTTATTTTTGTTTATCTACCTGGTGGGGGGTCTGCCTTCGTTCTTGCCCCCTGTGTCCCTTGTGTTTTGAGTGTTATTCTGGTGGTTCCCCCTGCTAGGTCCCCGTGAGTGTACACGTCCCGGGGGTTCAGCTCCTAGAAAGTTGTTTGGTAGCTTTGGGCGCCAGTTAGCAGTACCCTGCCTGGGATTACCTGAGCGCGCGAGTCCTATTATAGTAAACGCTCGGGACCCTGTGAAACCCCTGGGGGCGCGCGGGTCCAATGGATGTGACCCCGGAGTCCCACCCTCGCTTCCAGCGAGTTTGAGGGTTGCTCTCACCCCTTGTCTCAGGGTGACTATGTTTTGCTTCCGACTGCTGCCTGTTGGGGTCGGTGACACCTTCGACCCGGAGTCCTGCGAGTTTTGTTGCTCATTGTGGCTCGGTTACCCAGTTGTATGCTGACTAAGCGGGTGCAGGTAGCAGGGGCTTTGCACGTTAAGCTTTGGTGGTGGCAACGCTCTTGTTTGTTTGCTCCCCGGGAGCCCCGGGGCTGCCCCGTTTTGGTTCGTGTTGGTACTTCGGTTCCTTCCATGCCCCTTGTCTTTTCCCTGGATCCCCCCTTCCTACCTCCATCCGGTTCCTTACCGTCTGTGGGTTCGGGATCGGGGCGGGGTTCGATGGTTTTGAGACTCGGGCAGTCTCGGGGAATTCCCCTTCCGGGGTAGTGACGGGGGCATTCGAGCCTGTTCCTCCAGCCGTGTTTTAAGAGTCTGCTAGTGGGCTCCCTTCCTTAGTATTTTTCGCAGCTGCCCCGGTTTTCTGGTACAGCCGGGGCTTTGGGGGAACTGCTCGGCCCCAGGGCCTGTCATGTGGGTTCCCGGGGCTGGGGAGGGGCTGACTTGGGGGGACCTAAGGCCCCGTAGGACCCTGCGTTTTTTTTCTACCCTCTGGTTGGGGCTTGCGGTTACGCGGGATGGGGGTTTTCCTCCCTCCCCCCTCGCCGTACGAGTTGTTGGGCGTTGGCTCCTCCCCGGGCTCGGTTCCTTGTCCTTTGAGTTGGTTGGTTCCGTCCTGTAGGTGGGTGCTCTTCTCTGTTGCTCCCCCCTTTTTTTGGGGGGACGGGGTATCTTCGTCATGCTTCCCCATTATTGGGGTTTTACGTGACTTTTGGTCTCGGGTGCGACTGTTCCTTTGTATGCCTTTGGGACTGGTGTTTGCTTCTGTGTTCTCGAGGGTTTGGGTAGGTTTTCGCTACTTCCCGTATTATTGGAATATCTGTCTGCTCCTAGTTCGGGTCGCCGGATTGGGCTACTTGTAGCCCAGTTGGGCTACTCATGGCCCGGTTGGGTTCCCATTGGGCTCCTTGTCTTCGCTTCGTTAGCCGGTTATGTTGTCGCTGCTTACTCTTTTGGCTCCTGTCCCGTGTGATGGGTTGTTGTTCTAATTAGCGGTTCCCTAGGGTTGCATTCTGTTTGGCTACTTTAGTTTTGCAGTAGTCCTAAGTGGCCCCTTCCCACAGAGTGGGTTGTGCAGTTCGGCCAGCGTGTCCTGCGCATGCGCCATGGGAGTTTGTTTTGGTCTGGGCGGTGTGTTTCAGGGCTGGAGTTTTGCGCCCTTTTTTCTCGGGTGCTTCGCCTCTCGCTCTTCTCCCTTCTCCGGTATATGCCCCGTTGCTCCGGGGGTGTCCTGGATTACAGCTGTAGGGAGGACGCAGAGGTTTTCCCTGTGTTATGGGTGTAGGCCTCCTCCTTTGCCTCTATCCTGCTCTCCTGTGTGTCCGGCTCTGGCTTCTTTACCTGGCGGTGCTCCTGGGATCTTCTTGGCACTGTTGGGTCGTGTCATGTTCGTGCCTATGTTCGACAGGCGAGTTTCTGCGGTCTGGTGTCTTTCAACCGGGCGCTGGATGCAGAGATGTTTATATACCTGTCTTTATTTGGATATATTTATGTACAAATACGAGACCTTCGGCACACCGGTGATTATCCCTTTTCGACCCTTCCAGTCCCACTCATAGGCATGTCCAACCCATGCTAGTCATTCTGGGGATCCACTTCTTTCGTGTTATGAGGTGTGTGGGTTGTGGTGCTGGTTATGTACTCACCTGGTTGGGCTCGCCTGGTTGTGCTTACGGGGTTTGAGCTCTGGCTCTTTGGTCCCGCCTATATGGAAGAATATGCAGGATAGTACCAGTGGAGAGCAGTGGTGCCATAGGCACAATCGGGGAACACTGTATGAACATCAGAGGTCTGCGGTTGTTAAACGTCCTACCTGCAAGCGTACAACAGATTGCCAGTACTGGTACATCCGTGGACATCTTCAAGTGAACACTAGCCTGTTTTCTAATAGAGGTTTCGGACCAACCTGGCTGTAGTGGGTATGTGGGCCTGCGGGCCACTCCAAGCAACAGCCTGATGGACCAACCTTTCACAAGTCAAGCCTGGCCTTGGGCCGGGCTTGGGGAGTACATGAACTCTCAGAACCCCATCACACAGGTATCAAGCAGGTATCTCCGCCGTCGGTCGCCTGGTGTGCGGGTTCCTGGGCCTGCTAGGCTCTGTCGTGTCTCCGTTGGCCCTGTCTGGGGTCGGCCTGGAGCCTGCCTGCACCGTTCTTTTCCTTTGCAGAGGCAAGTTGCTACATACTTGTTGCATGTGTTGCAGGGTTGCTGCTGCACGTGTGCGTTGGTAATGTGTTTTGTGGTGGCGTGTCCTTGTTCCTGTGTCTGGTTGTGGTGTGACCCTTTGCTGTTGTTTTGTGCCTGGGGTTTGCGTGTTGGGGTTTGCTTGTTATTTTTCGTGGTCTTCGGGTCCCTGGCTTGGCCCTTCTGTGTGCGTGGGGTTCTGTCCATGCCTGATGGTTCACCCCTAGTTGTGTTTCCTGGGGTTTTAAGCTTTGGCTCTTTCGTCCTGCCTCTCCCCTGTCGCTTCCCTGGCATCTCATTTGCTCGATTTTGCCTTCACTTGCTGCTGTATGGGGGGGGGGGGGTCGGTTTCCGCCGCTTCCCTTCCTTGTGCGTTCCCTTTGTTTCCTCGGGGAAATTTATATTGGTGAGTTTGGTTGGGTATAGACAAAAGCTGACTCGTGTTGGCCAATAGGCATTCTACAGCTTTTTATGTTCATACATGTTCTCATGTTCTTACTGTTTCCTTTATTATTTAACACATATTTAGATGGGGGTCAGAGTGAGGTCACGGTAAGAAATTGAGTGTGATGATCAAACCACACACCAGAGATTATCATTTCTTCAGCCGCATTATTGTGTCTTATCGTATGCACGAGTTTTTGAGTATTAAAAGCTTTAAACTAATTTGAGTTTTTGGGGGGTGTTAAAATTTTTGGTATACAAATGATGCAACCCTTTTTAGCAGGGATTTAGCAAGAAATTTACAATACAGTTTGTAGATTAATTGATAACTTTAGTGATGTGTGTGTGTATACTCGCCTAATTGTACTCACCAAATTGTACTCACCTAATTGTGCTTGCGGGGGTTGAGCTCTGGCTCTTTGGCCCCGCCTCTCAACTGTCAGTCAACTGATGTACAGATTCCTGAGCCTACTGGGCTCTATCATATCTACATTTGAAACTATGTATGGAGTCAGTCAGCCTCTACCACATCACTGCCTAATGCATTCCATTTGTTAACTACTGACACTGAAAAAGTTCTTTCTAACATCCCTGTGGCTCATTTGGGTACTCAGTTTCCATCTGTGTCCCCTTGTCTGCGTACCACCCATGTTAAACAGTTTATCTTTATCTACCCTGTCAATTCCTCTGAGAATTCTGTAGGTAGTGATCATGTCTCCCCTTACTCTTCTGTCTTCTAGTGTCGTGAGGTGCATTTCTCGCTCCTTTCTTCGTAACTCATGCCTCTTAGTTCTGGGACTAACCTAGTGGCATACCTCTGAAGTTTTTCAAGCTTCTCCTTGTGCTTGACAAGTTACGGGCTCCATGCTAGGGCTCTGATGTTAGCCAGCCTCGTATACGCCGCAGATGTTATTCTTTTGATATTGGCTTCAGGAGACAGGGTTGGTGTGACATCAACTCCTAGATCCTTCTCTCTTTCCGTTTCATGAAGGACTTCATCTCCCATTCTGTATCCTGTGTCTGGCCTCCTGTTTCCACTGCCTAGTTTCATTACCTTACATTTAATCGGGTTGAACTTTAGTAGCCATTTGTTGGACCATTCGTGCAGTTTGTCTAGGTCATCTTGTTGTCTCATACTGTTTTCCGCCTTCTTAATCTTCCTCATAATTTTTGCATCATCAGCAAACAATGAAAGGAATGATTCTATACCATCTGGAAGATCATTTACATATACAGTGACAACTCGACTTACGATTGCCCCTACTTACGATAATTTCGAGTTACGATGTAAATTTCATCGAAAAATGCGACTCGACATTCGATGGTGTCGTCGACTTTCGATATTTGTTGGTACACGTTCGGGTCGACCGAGCGCGTGGTTCCCAGTCACGCGGCCGACCTGCCTCAGTTTACTACAGCTGCCCGCTTAGTGACGATCGCGCCTATAAGAAATTTAGCTTTTGTGGTGATTTTTTGCATTTTGAACATTAAAGTAATTATTATATATATCACGCCATGAGTCCCAGGAAAGTCAGTGGTAAGGCTCAACATATGAGATCCCATGTAAGGTTGACCATAGAGCAGAAACAAGAGATCATTCATAAATATGAAGATGGTGTGCGGGTTGTTGGACTGGCTAGGCAGTACAACAAATCTCAGTCAACGATATCCACCATACTGGCTAAGAAAAAGGACATTATGGGTGCTAAAGTGATGCATCATTACAGACAAATGTTAAAACGAAGGGAAAAACAAATGTCTCTTGACAAATTTGTAGTGAGACAAACAAGCTCTGAACCACAACCAGGTCCTAGTGGTATTCAGGCAGAACGTAGGAGAGAGAGTATCCCAGAGAAAACATCAGTGCCTGATGTGATAATGAAAGGGGACTCCCCTTCTAAACAGTAACAACTCTCATCCTTCCCCCTCATCACCATCTTCCATATGCCATCAAGAGCCCTCCATAAAGGTAAGATAAACTTAGGTACTGTATTGTAGTTAGAAAAAAATTGTATTCAGTATAAAATGTATTTGTATGTTAATATTTTGGAGGGTGGGGAATGGATTAATTCAAATCGCTTTATTTCTTATGGGAAAAATCGCTTCGACTTGCGATATTTCGACTTACGATTCGTCTCTGGGAACGGATTAGCATCGTAAGTCGAGGCCCCATTGTACTTGTAAATAAAAATGAAAAAATAAAATAAAGAAAAGAAGAGACAATCCGCCGACCAGTGAGTAGAGAGCACCACGCCGGCCAGATGAAGAAGGCACCAAGAGCACAAAAACAGCACCAAAAGATCCACCTCAAGAACAATAACCCAAGGGCCCCGGCACGACCACAACACATGCCAAGACCCCAAAAAATCAGCCTGCAAGCCAGGAAAACCCCGGAACCCCAGAAGGCAGAACCGGGTCACAAATGAGGTAACAAAAGCCCTCTGAACCCACAAAGGGGGCCCAAGAGGAAGAAACTTCCGGAACGAAACCAAAGAACCCAAAGGAACCCGGAATCGAACCGGGGAAACCTAAACTACCATATTTGCTGGCGGAATTACACCACAGCAGGGCCAAGCACAGCACCCAGACAGAACCCCCAGGGAAACGGCCAAAACAGACCAAAAACCTGGGTACAAGGTGTGGGAGCAAGCATAAACAGACAGGGACACTAAGCCCAAACCCTAGGGCACAGGCCCAAAACAGACAGAAAACACAAAATCCGGTATAAAAACCAACACCCAAGCATTCCCAGAGGAACAGAAGATGGGCATAAAACTCCAGAAATGCAAAGAAACTGGAATAGGAGGATAAAACCCCTGAAAGAAGTGAAAAAACTTGCCGAAAATGCGAGCTCCCACACCTCGGCCGAGGTAAACAAACCGCAGCGCTGCCCTGGTAGCCAAGCAAGGAGTTATCCGCAGAAAAAAAAATGGCCACCACACCAAGGAGCTGTGACCGACGCAATAGAGCCGAAAACATGCCAGCAAATGTGGGAAACAAGCAGACTAAAGGGACAGAAAACCTCGCCCAGAAGCATAAGACCCAGGCAGGGGCAAACACCCCCAGAAATGCAAGCAGGCATCCCCCACAGCCCCGGGAACCCGCAACAGAGGCCCCGAGGCAGAGCCGTCCTTCACGCCCTCTACCCTTAAAGAAAAGGAAGAGTTCAGGGAAAAGGCATTATAGAAAAGGCCGCTGGAAAGACCCAGAAGTCTTGGCAGGAGGAACAGGCTCGAGAACCTCCGTCCCCAACCCGAACGGGCCAGCCCCCGAAGCCGCCCGAGTCTCGGCACCAACTAAACCCCGCCCTGACCACGAAACCTGCAGTCGGTCAGGAGCCGGGAACAGGGAGGGAAAGGGAAGAACAGAACCTAACCAAAACGGGGCGGCTTGGGGGCATCCGGGTGGAAAACCAATCTAGCGCGTTGCAGCAACCTAAACCTAGCTTGCAACATGGATGCTGCCTGTACTCTGAATAGTAAGGACATCAGAAGAGCACTGGAGAACAAGCAGAGAACACCTCTCGCAAAACTTCGGGTCAAGGTGTCAGTGACCCAACAAGCAGCATGATGGAGGTAAAAGTGGCAACTGTCACCCTGAGACAAGGGCACAGCAACCAATGAACCTGCACAAGATGGGATGGAAACCGGAAAACACATCCAATGGTCCACCAAGTCTCGACAGGGTTTTCCAGGGCCCATAGACTGACTGCTCCAAGAAGCCCGGGCATGGTGTTGCTAACAAGGGGTAGATGCAACACTGAAAACCCTTGTGATGTGTACAATCACAGGGGCCTAGCAGAGGGCCACCAAATACTACCAGTGGAACTATAACCACACTAGGCAAACCCCCACACCAGGCAAAGAAAATAAAAACAAAAGAAAATCCCCGCAAAAGTACATCATCCCCGGAGGCAACAGGAACCGGTCGCCGCGTAGGTGACAGGCCGCGCAACACCTTGACACCCTAACCAGCGCAACACCAGTCCCTACCCAAGGCCAAACAAGGACCCCAAGCCCCAGCTGGCCCCAAGGGCAAGGCAAAAGCCAAGCAGCAAGAACCTCTATGGGAATGGTTCCCGAACGCCCCAGGGAAGATAACCCTGTCACGCAGGGGCAGTTCTCACAGGGCACATGGGGAAGGAAGCCCCTAAGCACATGCAGCGCTGGTACTGATGAGGAACACCTGGCCGTCGCACAACACAACACACAGCAGTGAACATCACGAAGGCAAACAACGCCTAGGAAACTGAGGCCAGAGAAGTGTCTGTCCCCGGTTTACATTAGCTTACGAACTGGTGCCAAGCAGCCGGCGTGGTGAGGTCTGGGGCCCCCCCCCTCCATGTCTCGGGGTGGGAGGGGTGCGCGGCAGTAAAGTGTGATGTTTGCTTGTTTCCTTGGGTTTGTAGGGAGTTTTTGTTTTGGTTTCTTACCATGTGGGGTTTGTTTTGTTATGCCTACCTTTCTGGGTGCCTAACCCCAGTCGATGGCAGATAAGGAAAAACCCCAACCACAAGGTGGTTTTCCAGGGCCATTGCTTCTTGAAAATTCTCTGAAGGGGCCAGGTTCTGGTGCTGGTCTCTGGTAGGTTTGAACTCCATAGCTAATGTCCCGGTCTAATATAACACACATTAGCCCAGGGAGCCGTAGGGGCTCGCCACAGAAAAGTTTGATTGACATTGAACTAGTTTTCATTTATTGCATATTTTTGGCATATTTGGAACTAATGCCCCCTTTTAATTACATTCAATGCTGGTTGTTTAAGGTTTATTGAGTGTCTGTTTACATATTAAACAGATTAATATTTTTATTTACAGTGTATATACTGTATTAGAATTTAGTGTCTGTTGTATATTATGCTTTATAGTATGTATACTGTATTATGTAATAGGTTTAAAGTCTCTTAAAACTTTATATTCTATGTTCTTTATTATATTGTATTGAATTGTCTGTTTATATCTGATTGAGTTGTTGAACTGCAGGCATGTGCTGACTGAACGCAATGAGTCGCCCAAGGGCAAGCTGACTCATGCTGATCTTTTCTACCGCTCTGTCAGCAAAGTTGAAGACATCATTTGGGGCTTGCTGCGGGCACAGGAGGAAGTATGTCTGGCGTTGATAGTTTCTCATCCACCCCAGCAAAATGCATGCTAGTGTTCGGTGAATGACCAACTCGTCAACCGATTTTTGTTGTTTAAGAGTCGGAAGCTTTAATTTAAATTTGTTTAGATGTTAAAATATACTAATAATATTTTAACATTAAAATAATTGAAGAGAAACTCTAAGTTGAAAGTAAAATTCATTTTCAGAGCATTTTGTCTGTAGGGAATTTAAGCCAATACAGGCAAAAACATTATTTTGAAATGGTCTCATGTCAGCTTCATATTTCTTCACATTGTCTAATACTTTGTACCCTGTTCAACCAGTAAATTATACATGATGAGATTTGATATAAATAACTTAAGAAATATTGATAGAACACAGGCATCCATTTATGTACATATACTGTGTATGTATGTATGTAATTACCTAAGTGTAGTTGCAGGATGAGAGCTACACTCGTGGTGTCCCGTCTTCCCAGCACTCCTTGTCATATAACGCTTTGAAACTACTGACGGTCTTGGCCTCCACCACCTTCTCACCTAACTTGTTCCAACCGTCTACCACTGTTTGCGAAAGTGAATTTTCTTATATTTCTTCGGCATCTGTGTTTAACTAGTTTAAATCTATGACCTCTTGTTCTTAAAGTTCCAGGTCTCAGGAAATCTTCCCTATCGATTTTATCAATTCCTGTTACTATTTTATATGTAGTGATCATATCCCCACTTCTTCTTCTGTCTTCTAGTTTTGGCATATTTAATGCCTCTAACCTCTCCTCGTAGCTCTTGCCCTTCAGTTCTGGGAGTCACTTAGTAGCATGTTTTTGCACCTTTTCCAGTTTGTTGATGTGCTTCTTAGGATATGGGCACCACACAACGTTCTTTCTAATATCTCTGTGGCTCATTTGGGCACTCAGTTTCCACCTGTGTCCCCTAGTGCGTGTGCCCCTTGTGTTAAATAGCCTGTGTGTGTGTGTGTGTGTGTGTGTATATATATATGTCGTACCTAGTAGCCAGAACGCACTTCTCAGCCTACTATGCAAGGCCCGATTTGCCTAATAAGCCAAGTTTTCATGAATTAATATATTTTCTCAAATTTTTTTCTTATGAAATGATAAAGCTACCCATTTCATTATGTATGAGGTCAATTTTTTTTTATTGGAGTTAAAATTAACGTAGATATATGACCAGACCTAACCAACCCTACCTAACCTAACCTAACCTATCCTAATAGGTTAGGTTAGGTTAGGTGGCTGAAAAAGTTAGGTTAGGTGAGGTTAGGTAGGTTAGGTAGTCGAAAAACAATTAATTCATGAAAACTTGGCTTATTAGGCAAATCGGGCCTTGCATAGTAGGCCGAGAAGTGCGTTCTGGCTACTAGGTACGACATATATATATATATATATATATATATATATATATATATATATATATATATATATATATATATATATATATATATATATATATATATATATATATATATATATATATAATATATATATATATATATATAATATATATATATATATATATATATATATATATATATATATATATATATATATATGTCGTACCTAGTAGCCAGAACTCACTTCTCAGCCTACTATGCAAGGCCCAATTTGCCTAATAAGCCAAGTTTTCATGAATTAATTGTTTTCGACTACCTAACCTACCTAACCTAACCTAACCTAACTTTTTCGGCTACCTAACCTAACCTAACCTATAAAGATAGGTTAGGTTAGGTTAGGTAGGGTTGGTTAGGTTTGGTCATATATCTACGTTAATTTAAACTCCAATAAAAAAAAATTGACCTCATACATAATGAAATGGTTAGATTTATCATTTCATAAGAAAAAAATTAGAGAAAATATATTAATTCAGGAAAACTTGGCTTATTAGGCAAATCGGGCCTTGAATAGTAGGCCGATAAGTGCGTTCTGGCTATTAGGTACGACATATATATATATATATATATATATATATATATATATATATATATATATATATATATATATATATATATATATATATATATATATATATGTTGTACCTAGTAGCCAGAACGCATTTCTCAGCGTACTATGCAAGGCCCGATTTGCCTAATAAGCCAAGTTTTCCTGAATTAATATATTTTCTCTAATTTTTTTCTTATGAAATGATAAAGCTACCCATTTCATTATGTTTGAGGTCAATTTTTTTATTGGAGTTAAAATTAACGTAGATATATGACAGAACCTAACCAACCCTATCTAACCTAACCTAACCTATCTTTATAGGTTAGGTTAGGTTAGGTAGCCGAAAAAGTTAGGTTAGGTCAGGTTAGGTAGGTTAGGTAGTCGAAAAACAATTAATTCATGAAAACTTGGCTTATTAGGCAAATTGGGCCTTGCATAGTAGGCTCAGAAGTACGTTCTGGCTACTAGGTACGACATATATATATATATATATATATATATATATATATATATATATATATATATATATATATATATATATATATATATATATATATATATATATATATATATATATATATATATATATATATATATATATATATATATATATATATATATATATATATATATATATATATATATATATATATATATATATATATATATATATATATATATATATATATATATATATATATATATATATATATATATATATATATATATATATATATATATATATATATATATATATATATATATATATATATATATATATATATATATATATATATATATATATATATATATATATATATATATATATATATATATATATATATATATATATATATATATATATATATATATATATTTTTTTTTTTTATAAACCTAGAAGGGGTACCACCTCTGGTGCAAATGTAGGGACCCATAGCCTCAGAGAAGAAAATAAAGAGTACTCAGAGAAGACCTTTTGGATCCTCACTGAACACTTTGATATTTTCTTCTCCTACCGCCCCTATTCTTTTGTTAAGTGTGTATATTTATCTAACTTTATTTGAAAATGTCATTACACAAAAAAAAGTTACAATATTGATTACATACAGGGTACAAGGCTGCTTGTCATAAGTTGAATAGCTCCTCCAGCTCCTCCAGCTCCAGCTATATATATATATATATATATATATATAATATAATATAATATAATATAATATAATATAATATATAATATAATACAGTATATATATATAATAGGGGTACCACCTCTGGTGCAATTGTAGGGACCCACATCCGAAGAAGAAGTAAATATAGAGTATTCAGAGAAGACCTTGTGGATTCTCGCTGAACACTAATCTTTTCTTCTCCTACCACGCCCATTATTTTTTATATATTTTGTTTTATTATATTTTATTTTATTGCAATGCTACAGTTTACAGAGAACACACACACACACATATATATATATATAACAATATAACAGTGTTCAAAGACCTTGTCCAGCTCCTCGGAGGTTGGGTGCGTACCCAGGATACAGCACTCATTTTCCCTCTGAACTGCAACACTGAGGCGCTGGAATAGGAAACTGGCCGCATGGGAGTCTTTAGTTTTCTCAATGAGTTCCTCGCCCACTTCCTTTAAGAACTTAAGTGCACATTTACCACAGGCGCCCAGAGTCTCAGAGCCTATTGGCACGAACCTGTAACAATGTTCTAGGTCTCTGTACTTGTTGGTTTTCTGGGTCTCCCTGAAGGTGGCTGCCCCACCTCCCTCAACTGTGCTGTAAGGTAGATAGGTATCCGCCAATGTAGATGCACACGTGTAATCCCATACGACCGACGATACGACTCGTAAACCTTCCCTCCATGGCTGCAGGGTGACTCCATCTGGGCATTTTTGGCTGTTGTCAGGTCTGCACAACTGAGGTTCCCTTTGTGCTGGACACCCAGCTGTAGCCAAACTTCTCTTGATGACTCCTCTGAAGAGTCAGCCAACACAACATTTGTACCCCCTATTAGACTATTTTACAGGAACTTCTTTTCGACGGCTTATAAAACGGAGGAAAGGGTCCTGAAAGATATTGTTGATAGGAATGTTATCCCTACAGACAAAAATCAGAAAATGCAATTGATAATTTATTATAAAACCAAATAAATGACCAATCTACTCATGAAAAACTCCCCAGACACCAAGCAGAACGCTTTGAAGGAGACCAACGTCGTCTATGCCTTTAAATGCCTACTTGGGGACTGTAAGCCCCAAAGAACTCAGTATATTGGCAAGACAACAACGTCTCTTACCAGGCGACTAACAATGCATAAGCAACAGGGCGCCATCAAGGAACATATAATCTCTTCCCACAACCAGACCATCACCAGAGAGATCTTAATAAACAACACAGAAATCATCGATAGGTACAGCGATAGCAGGCGGCTTGACATCAGCGAGGCACTACATATCTAAAAGTCAATAGCAGCAATCAACAGCTAATATATAATATCTAATATATATAATATCTCGCCATGGGTTCCAAGAAAGCCAGTGGTAAGGTTCAAGGCAAGAAATCGCATGTGAGAATGACCATAGAGGAAAAACAAGAGATCATTCATAAGCATGAAAATGGTATGGTAAGTATGAAACGACTCTCCCAGAGAAAGCTGTAGTAGGCCGTTGCATTAATCTTTTCAATGACAATGTGATGCCTCACTACAGACAAGTGTTGCAAAGAAGGGAAAACTATCTTCAATGGAACGATTCCTTGTGAGAAAATCAAGCAGTGAGCCACAACCAGGACCTAGTGGTATGCAGGCAAAACGTGCCAGAGAGTGCACTCCAGAGAAATCTTCACTGCCTGAAGTTATAATGGAAAGGGACTCCCCTTCCAAACAGTAACACCTCACCACCTTCCCCCTCCTCACCATCTTCCATACGCCAACAGGAGTCATCAGCAAGGGTAAGTAATAACTTGAACATACTTTTGTAGTGAAGATTTGGGTGAATTAGGTATCAAATTTACTTTGAAGTGAAGTTTTTGGGGAGTCAGGAATGGATTAATTCATTTCCCATTATTTCTTTTGGAGAAATTCGCTTCAGTTTACGAATTTTCTGATTATGAACCGTCTTCAAGAAAGGATTAAAATCTTAAACCGAGGTACCCCCTCGTAGATGGAATACAGTAGATGGAATAAACGAATGATTGAGGTCTAGCAGTTAGGTCGGGGAGTGTAATACACATATTCATACATACTGTCTGTACTACCTTGCGGTTACCTTGCGATGATTTCAGGGTTCAACATTCCCGAGGCCTGGTTCTCGGCCAGGCCTCATGACAGATAAATATATAATTTAACTACAGATGGACAATAAATGTATGCATGACATTTACGTTAGAAAAGTAAGGACATAAAAAATAACCCAAAGGGGTTACCAGTTTCATTAGTTTTCTTTCTTGAGTGTTGCTTTTTCCTGTTGCATTACCATCTTATGCATGTAAGGTTAGATTGTGCTGTACAAGGCAAAGAACCCATTCAGTTTGCCAAGCTGTTGCTTTACTATGAAATTTGATGTAGGGAAAAAATTTAGCCAGTCGTTTGTTTGAGAAAATAGTTCCACCGAGCCTCGTTCCTGCGTGTAACAATAATTTCACTTTACCTTGTCACACGTAATGTGTGAGTTGTCAATTTTGCCTGTCCTAGACCTTTATCGAGTTGAAACTAAAAGGTAAAGAAGGTGATATGGGGGGGGGGGGGAGAGGAGGAGGGAAGCAACATAGTGAGGAGTGAGCTGAATGGAAAGGTCAGATTAAAAAAAAACAAAAAAACAGAATGAGTGTGAGCAAGAAAAACAAAGACTTAGATCAACATATTTTATTCTGAATATCAGAGGACTTGTCAGTAAGCATTCAGTGGTATGGTATTTGAAGAGTTTAGAAGCAGGAAACCTTATCGTTGAAGCAGCCCGTCATCATAAACAAAGTTCAAAGTCCATTCCATGCACCCACTAAACCCCCTGTTTATGAATGAAAACAGTTTACACATAACTCACAACTGATGACGTCCGAACACTTCTGGATCAAGTGCTTCGCTGATGACTTGTTCGAACCACAGTGCTGTAAATGCTTAACAAATACAAATAATCGCCAACCTAAACACCTAACCTAACCAGTACCTAAATATGCACAATATGCCAAAATATAACTTTATTAATTTATAGAAAATTCCTATTTTGAATGAACAGTATGTTAAAATTGATGAATGTGTCTTTGGGGTCGACCACTGGATGGAATGGACTTGGTCTGAGGACAGGTTGCATTGAAGAGGATCAGGTTATAGAATACAGTACTGTAGTTTGTATTCTATGGTCTTAAGTGTTCTTGTTTCTTGCTCTTGCAGTCATCATTAGTATTGTGACATTATTTTAGGTATGTCTCTTTATTTGGCTCTCCTCTGTTTTAGAAATGCAATCTTATTCCTTGCGAAAAGGATTATTTAATTGGTTATGAATTCATTGCTTTCCTTTCCACCTGTAACCAATGTATCTCTAATACATGAAGGAAACTAACTGCTCTTTCTGACAGGCCTAAAGCATGCAGATGTGTTTGCCAGGCTGACACAAATATCTTTCATATTGTTAGGAATTATAACCCTTCCATAAATTGGTCATTTTCGACTGAGTAGTCTCACTAAAATGGCTCTTTTGTCATTTCCACATATGCAATCTCGCTAAATTGGCCATCATACACAATGCTTCTCGACACATAACTTTGGCCTGGGATTATTTCTGTAGATGCTCCTCTCTCAATGCATTGTCAGATGCTCTGGTCTTCAAAACATACAAAACTTGGCCTACCCACTCTTCCCTTACCCCGCTCTCCTTTTCCCTCTTCACCTTGCTTCCCAGTTTTGACGTGATAATGATTCTAGACGAGTCAAATAGTGTTACTTTTTCGCGTCTAACATCTTTATTTGTTCAAGTTACATTATTTTAACTTTATTAATAATTCTACTGATCTTGAGCCTCATTTGTAACAATAATTAATCGTCAATTTTTGTAATAACAATTCCATTAACCAGGTGCTATGAGTTACTAGTAACCCTGTCATTACTTACCAGGTGTTGGCAGCCGATGTGGCCCCACGCGATGCTCCTGCCACAATACACTCGGTGAACGTGCTCATCCTCGCACTGCTGCGAAGTACAAAGGTTATCTCGGGGAACATTACTGCTATTACAGGAACCACAAATGATCCACCACTAGAGCATATTCCATGGACTGCCTCCCAAGGATCTCGTGGAGTGCGTACGTTGTTACTAGAACAACACGCCACAACTGTCCAGGTATCTTTGCATGTTGCAGTAGCAGAGTGATGCTTGTGGGGTCCTGTCTTTATTATATTACTAATCATAGCTATTTGTTAAATATCTCATGCTTTTTGCACATACTATTAGCTCTTTGGTGCTCATTCTAACCATATACTGTACCATTGTTGTAATGGAACACATGAGAATACTGCAGTAGACATACTGGCTAATGTAATGCAGGTCTGTTTACACCCAACCTGTTTTCCCCAAAGTATTTTTTTCAGTACTGCTACTTTTAGAGAATGTTTCACCCATCCACACCAATATTACCAAGCAGCAATGAGTCACAATAACGTGGCTGAAGAATGTTGACAATATTACAACAATATTACAAAAATAGGCTTGGCAACAATATTACCAAGCCTATTTTTCTATATATATATGTCCAATATCTATATATGTTCTATTTTAGGTCCATTGCTACAAGTTACAATTTCTTTGAAGGACCTTCCTAGGACCTTTCCAAGCTAAGTGCTGTTTTAAACAAGCCTTTGGTAGAAGCACCAGGCCTTTTGAGACCCACTCTTGTCTAATGAAAGCCTAGACCAGAATTTTGCTTGGTGAATGAGGCTAGGGGAGCTTTTGGGTCAGAGTTCTACTCAGAACTGAGGACAAAATCACACCAGAAAAAATACACACAACAAGACTTAACAGTTTCTTGAAAGAAATTAGGTATCCAGAGATACTGAACCATCACTTTCAGGATGAATAGATATTAGTAATGTTGCACCTGGGCAGCCCCTGGAATCTGGAGTTTTTACTTGCCCCGCACCCTTATTCACGCCCTACCATAAAACTCCGCCCCATGAAGGAGGCTGGAAATGGTTGTTGTGGGGAGCTGCTGAGGACTTCACCATTAAAAAGCATTTCGTTACAATTAATGCTTGATTTGTGGGAGGGCCTCCTCTGTAGCTCTCTGACCTAACCTGCAATGGTGCCTCAAAGGAAGTCAGCATTTCTGAAAATTAACAAATTAGGAAGACATAAAAACCGAATGTTAAATGTAATGAAGCAAGACTTTCTGGAGGAGCCCCAGTAGCTTCCTGAAGCTACCTTGCTGAAATTGCTCCACAAAAAGATCACATCACTTGTGGAAGTTTTGTTTGGTCTATTGGAGACAAGAGCCAGAATCTGCCCCATTCCCCACATTGAGGTACTGAGTGAGTGACAGTCACCACAAAGAAAAAAAACAGTCACCAAAGCTTTCAATAATCACCACCTGGCAGCCCAGCCCCAGCCAGCTCATCATCCTATGTCTGGAGTTGATGAGCAACCCAAAACTGAACTGACAAACCTGCAAGTAGGGTGGCGGGTATCGGGGCTCTACTGGGACTCCTTCAGAAAACGGCGTTTCATTATATTCAATGGAGGGAGCCCCCAGTGGCACCCTGAAGCTAACTAACCACAGATAACAAAAACAGGATTAACCAGGAAGGAGAGGCAGCAGTCACTAGGATGAAGAGGAGAACCCAGGCTGGGAGACACTCCACAAAGCAATACCCGACCGACTGGGTGGGACCAGTGACAATGACTTGATGCTGGGTTGCTAAGTATATATTATATACTGTATAGTACTAACAGTCATATCCCTGTTAGAATGCCAAAATCCCCAAGCCTCAATATTATCTGAGGGCAAGTTGGAGAAAACTGCCACCAAAGCTGCAGATTTGTGAACATTATAAGCCTGAGGGCAAGCTTATGATGGATAAACAATGGGCAGAACACTGGACTGGACGATCCTGTGGTCCCGGGTTCGATCCCGGGCGCCAGTGAGAAACAATGGGCAGAGTTTCTTTCACCCTGATGCCTCTGTTACCTAGCAGTAAATAGGTACCTGGGAGTTAGTCACCACAGGCAAAGGTAAATGCTTTGTTGGTGGCTGCTGCAGCTCGGCGTCTTCCCGACTTGTACGTGCTGACCGGTGATGAGATTGCGTTCGTTCAGGACGGGTAGACTACAGAATGACCAGACCCAGTGTTACTGCAGATAACATTAGAAATGAGAGCTTTGTAACATGAACCAAGGAAAGATGGTCAAGCAACAAGGTGTCTATTGAGATAGAACTGATGGTCTGCACATAGCAGCGAAGTGCTGCCACCAGACACAACAAATAAAGTAAAGTACCCCTCTGCTGAACCAACCAAGCAGCAATCCTTCCCTTCCCCATCCTTCCCGGAAGTTCACCAGCTAAATTTTTTGCCAGAAAGGAAAGAGAACACTGCAAACTGACAATCCGCCCACCACAGGCAAAGGAACAGTAAAAACCCTACCTCCAGAGAAAAGCCTGAAGTTCCCCAATTCTACAGCTGGAGATGAGAGCCATCAAGAAGACAATCTTACCTTTCAGCTGTGCATCCCATCACATGATAGGGTAGCTAAATATGCTCAGACTGTGCATCCCATCACATGATAGGGTAGCTAAATATGCTCAGACTGCGCATCCCATCACATGATAGGGTAGCTAAATATGCTCAGACTGCGCATCCCATCACATGATAGGGTAGCTAAATATGCTCAGACTGCGCATCCCATCACATGATAGGGTAGCTAAATATGCTCAGACTGTGCATCCCATCATATGATGGGGTAGCTAAATATGCTCAGACTGTGGAAGCCGGTGGCTGAGCGGACAGAACATTGGACGTGTGATCCTGTGGTCCCGGGTTCAATCCCGGGCACTGGCGAGAAACAATGGGCAGAGTTTTTCACCCTGATGCCCCTGTTACCTAGCAGTAAATAGGTACCTGGGAGGTCAGCTATAACGGGCTCCTTCCTGAGGGTGGAGGCCTGGTCGAGGACCGGGCCGCGGGTACACTAAGCCCCGAAATCATCTCAGGATAACCTCAAGATAACCCATCACATGATAGGGTAGCTAAATATGCTCAGACTGCACATTGCATCAGGTGAAGTAGTAGGGTACAGAGTAAAATTTAACCCCTAACCTTTAACATGTTAAACACTCGACTCTGTCCCAAGAACGGCAAAGACTGTAGAGAAATGGAAACGCTTGAGCTAAGGTTGGAAGAATCACATAAAATCCAGGAGAGATGGAGAGAACAAAGGCCATAAGTGAAATAGAAATGAATCCAAAATACTTTACTCTTATGCAAAATCTAGAACAAAAGCTGCATCCAGCATTGGGCCTTTGTGCAAGAGTGATGGAACCTTCACAGAAGACAGCAAAGAAATGAGTGAAATACTGAGGTTAGAGTACGGTTCTGTTTTCAGTGAACCCCTGAACACATTGCAGATCAATGATCCAAAATTTTTTTTATGAATGTGATCCCACCACTGAGCCACATATCAGATGTCACCTTAACCCCACTTGACATTGTAGTAGCCATAGTCAGCATGCCCATGCACTCTGCGCCAGGCCCAGACTCGAAGAATTCTACATTCGTCAAGAATTGTATAAAACTTCTATCACAGGCCCTAAACATCTTCTGAAGACATTGCCTAAATACTGATGTTATCCCTGACATACTAAAAACAGCAGAGATTGTGCCACTTCTCAAAGGAGGTAGTAAAGCTGATGGAAATTTGTTTACACCAATAACTCTAACATTGCACATCATAAAAATCTTTAAAAAAGAGTGCTAAGAAGTAAGATCACAAAGCACATGGAATCAGTGTCTATATAACCCTGGGTATCATAGATTCAGAACAGGGAGCTCCTTCCTCTCACAATTGCTAAACCACTATTACATTTCCCTAGATGCCATGGAAGGCCAAAAAAAAACTGATGTAATATACACAAATTTCACAAAAGCCTTTGGCAAATGTGACCATGGTATTGTTGCACACAAAATGTACACAAAAGGAATTACTGGCAGAGCAGGAAGCTGGATCTTTAACTTCCTAACAAACAGAATCCAGAGTGTAATAGTCAACAAAGTAAAAACTGAATCGTCCACCGTTAAAAGGTCGGTCCCCCCCAAGGTACCGTACTTGTTCCAGTACTTTTTCTCATTCTCATATCACACATAGACAAGGATATCAACTGTAGTACTGTATCATCCTTTGCATATGACTCTAGAATTTTCACAAGAGTAGACAGTATAGAGGGAAAAGTAAACCTCCAATCTGGTTTTAATTAAATATTTCAATGGGCCAGAGAAAATAACATGATATTTAATGAGGATAAGTTTCAATTACTGTGCTATGGAAAAAAACGAACACATCACAGGAGAAACCACATACTGTATAAAACAGTCAAACCACACTATAAAGAAAAAGCAGTGTCAAAGATTTGGAGTAATCATGTCAGATGACCTTACTTTTAAAGAACACAACGAAGTTACTGTCACAGCTGCAAGAAAAATGACAGGTTGGATAACATGATCCGTCCAAACGAGAGATGTCACGCCAATGATGATACTTTTTAAGACATTAGTGCTCTCTAGAGTGGAATACTGTCGCAGCCCCATTCAGAATTGGAGAAATTGCTGATCTGAAGAATGTGCAAAGATCCTTTACTGCTAGAATCCATTCAATAAAACATCTAAATTATTGGGTCTGCCTAAAAAATTTAAGTCTTTATTCCTTGGAGCGCAAGCAGAAGAAATACATAATAACCTACACTTGGAAAATATTGGAAGGACTGGTTCCAAATCTGCACACAAATAAGACCACATGAGACCAGAGGTCATGGCAGGATGTGCAAAATAGCCCCACTGAAAAGCAGAGGTGCAATAGGCATGCTGAGAGAGAACTTGATCAACAACAAAGCCCCAAGACTTTTCAACAATCTTCCCCCACACATACAGGCTGACCTCTCGCAGTGTTCAAAAGAGAACTCGACAAGTGCTTTTAAAGGATACCTGATCAACCAGACTGTGACTCGTACGTCAGGCTGTGAGCAGCCGCATCAAACAGCCTGGTGGATCAGGCCAGGAGACCAAGCCACAGAGACATCAACCCCTGAAAGCTTCAACAGGTAGTAAACAGGCAGGCTGTGATTATCGTATGTTGATGATCCCTAGGGAACTGCAGGCATCATCATATGAAGATTTAAAAAATTATTGTTTGGGTTTTACATGTGTAATGCAAATATGGATATAATAGGTCTATGTGGATGTAATGGAGTTTACCTTGACCCATGAACAAAAATCCTGCTACTATTTCATGGTACAAATGTGGTTATCATCGAGTAAGTGATAAGAATATCACAACAAGATGTGGGGTGTAAAATTCACCCATCACAACAAGATGTGGGTGTAAAATTCACCCAATTTTTAGATGTAGGAAAGTTTATTAAGACAGTTGTATTGAATGAATTAATGATAACCAAGTTGTGGGAGCGTATTTGAGGTAATTTGAGGATAAGAGAATGATAGGAAGACAAATCTGGCAGACTTGGTAAGCTATTATTTGAGTAAGCAAAGTGTATGAACAGTGCACAAGAAGTGATAGGAAGCAAGTCTAGATAAAATGTATTTCTTAAGAGGTAGTGGTTGTTGGAGATGTTTTTGATACAGTACATTTAAAGTGTTCCAAAGAGTTGTCATTTAATCAAGTTGCTCAAAGTGGTGGGATGTTTCTGCGAAGGGTTTTCTAGATTGTTGCAGCACTGTTTGTATGTGACGCTATGTAGGGCTTACCTAGTTGTTACATATTTGTCTATGGGGAGCAAGATCTAGTTAAATAGTTCTGCCTTAACTGTTGTACATGACATGGTGAATAGGGGGGGGGAGGATATTTTTGAGCTTCTTTAACCTTCATTTGCTTTGTTGTTCTCAATTTTGTTACTGATGTATCATTGATGCCAAGAAAGTGGAGACCTGGACCCAGATTCATAAAGCAGTTACGCAAGTACTGTACTTACAAATGTGTACATATTTCCTCAATCTTTGACTGCTTTGGTTACATTTATTTAACAGATTACAAGCATGAAAACTTTCCAATCAACTGTTGTTGTTGTTAGAAACAGCCTCCTGGTGCTTCGGAGCTCATTAACTGTGTAATAATTGTAAACAAAGTCGCCAGTGATTGAGAAAAGTTGTACAGGTTCGTAAGTGCTTGCATAATTGCTTTATGAATCCGGGTTCTGGACAGTAACAAAGATTCTTCTAGTATTACGTCTCGAAATATAATATGGCTTTTGATGTATTTTTATATAATTATATAAAACACTATCCAATATTTTTGTGTGTTAATAAGTATTTGACAATGAGATCTGTTGTTAGTACGAGATGCTGGTCTCTTAAAATTTATAAGTAGCATGTGAGGGGATAATGATGCATGATCTTTGTGAACAGGTTGGTTTAGTTCGTGCAGAAGATGGTGCTACCAGAGCCAAGCTGTATGCTCAGATGGTTGATCTTGCCGATGTTATCCTGAGCGGTTATCAGCCTCAGCTGCGTTCCCTGGTTGCTGTGAGCCACGACTCGCACCAAGCTCTCACACGTGCCTATGAAAGGGACCGTTATAACCTCATTCAGCCTCTAGGTAAATTTGTTTGATATGCATATTTCAGTATCAAAAACATCAGTACAATAATTTGTACTGATTTTTTAATAGCACTTTGTTTTGTTCTATTTTCATATGACTTGCATTTAATTTCCAGGGCTTAAGATATATTTTTTGTATTCCCACAGTGAAAGGAGAACAATATGACCAAGCAGTGGGCCTAGCTGAAAAATATTGTGACTTCAGAACACTGGTTGAAGTGTGTGATCGCACCGACAACCAAGAAAGACTCGGCCAGTACATGACGCAGTTTGGATCTGATGTAAGTGTGCTGAATCATTGAAATCCTTAATACCTGTCTTTATATCTAGACTGGGTTCTGGGAGTTTGTCTGCTCCTGAAGCTCAGCCTGGAGAGGCCAACATATCCATTCCAACCTGGTTAGTCCAAAACTTTCTGTAGAAACTGGTCTAATTGTTTCTTGATCACCTCGACTTTCGTATTCATACCCTTCTTTATCTGTGTGTTCTTCTTCCTAAAGAGACTGATCACAAATTAGATCTTCAGATAGTACTACATTGCATTCTTACTTGAACTGAAGACTTGTATCAGATTTCTATGACAACAGCTGCAGATATATTGCATTTGAAGTTTGCTGTTTTCCCCTATTTTGTGCCAACTATTGCTATTAGATTTTTACATGATATAGATCATGCTTCTTTACACATTTTGATTTCAAAATTAGTTAAACAAAATAATTAAGTTACGTACTGTAATTATTTTGCAGAATATTTCGTAAATTTTCTGTGCCATAGATTGCCTGATATTGCAGGTGAATTTCTGGGTATTTTCCCTGGACCTTGTACTCGCCAAGTTGTGCTTGTGGGGGTTGAGCTCTGGCTCTTTGATCCCGCCTCTCAACCGTCAATCAACTGGTGTACAGATTCCCGAGCCTACTGGGCTCTATCATATCTACACTTGAAACTGTGTATGGAGTCTACCTCCACAACATCACTGCCTAATGCATTGCATCTGTTAATTACAGTACTCTGACATTGAAAAGGTTCTTTCTAACGTCCCTGTGGCTCATTTGGGTACTCGTTTTTTTATCTGTATCCCCCTCTTGTTTGCATACCACATGTGTTCAACAGTTTATCTACCCTGTAAATTCCTCTTTAGAATTTTGTAGGTAGTGATCATGTCTTCCCTAAATCTTCTGTTTTCCAGTGTTGTAAGGTTCAATTCCAGTAATCTTTCCTCATAGCTCACTCCTCAGCTCGGGGACTAGCCTGGTGGCATACCACTGAACCTTTTCTTACTTCATTTTGTGTTTGACTAGATGTGGACTGCATGCTGGAGCTGCATATTCTAGTATTGGTCTGTTATATGAGGTGTACAAGGTTCTGAACGTTTCCCTACACAAGTTTCTGAAGGCAGTTCTTATGTTTGCCAGCCTTGCATCCGTCACTGATGTTATCCTTTTGATGTGGGCTTTAGGGACAGGTCTGGTGTGATACAAACCCCCAGATCTTTCTCTCGTCCTGACTCCTGAAGAATTTCCTCTCCCAACTGGTACCTTGGGTTTGGCCTCCTACTCCATACGCCTATCTTCATCACTTTGCACTTGCTCAAGTTAAACTCTGGTAGCCATTCGTTGGACCATTCCTTCAGTCTCTCCAGGTCATCCTGTAGCCTCTTGCTGTCCTCCTCTGTCTTAATCCTTCTCATAATTTTAGCATCATCAGCAAACATTGAGAGGAATGAGTCTATACCTTCTGGAAGTTCTTTCACGTATTTCAGAAACAGGATAGGTCCGAGTACAGAACCCTGCGGGACTCTGCTGGTGACATCACGCCAGTCTGAGGTCTCACCCCTCACAGTAACTCTCTGCTTCCTGTTGTTTTGATAGGCCCTTATCCATTGGAGCACCCTACCACTTACTCCAGCTTGTTTCTCTAACTTATGCAACAGTCTTTTATGGGGTACTGTGTCAAAAGCTTTCTGACAGTCCAAGAAAATGCAGTCTGCCATCCTTTTCTTTCTTACTTAATGCTTGTTGCGGGGTTATAGAATTCTATTAAACCTGTGAGACATGACTTACCTTCCCTGAACCCATATTGGTGACGTGTTACAAAATCTCTTCTCTCCAGATGTGCATCATACACAAGGCTTGAAAAACAGCCACATCCTTAGTGTTCAGCTCCACTTTGCTCCACGTATTTTGATAGCAAAATCCAACCCTTCCTCCGAATAGACTGTACGTTTTAATACTAAATGTAATAAGTACATTCCTGACTGTCTGTATAGTACATATATACACTTAATTGTGCTGTTACATTTACCTCAACATATATATTCTCCTCATTTTCTGTTAACACTGTACACTCAAAATTTTTAAGTTGAAGTTTTCGTGTTCAATTCTATATATCCAATTTTTAAATATAAAGAATTTCTTTTTCATTTTTATTAAACAATAGAGATTTTATACAAATTTTGAAAATATCCTGAGTTACTTTATAATTTATTGAAAGACTTTAGTTTTATTTTATTAGTTTTATAAAATTGTAATATCTATACAGCTATAGGTTAAGTACTACAGGGGTACCTCGGTTTAAGAGTTTAATCCGTTCCTGGAGACAGCTCGTATTCCGAAAACTCGTAATCCGAAGCTAATTTCCCCATAAGAAATAATAGGAAATGAATTAATCTGTTCCTGACTACCCAAAAATCTCACTTCAAACTAAATTTTATACCTAATTCATCTAAATAAACCTACAAAACTATGTTCAAGTTATTACTTACCCTTGCTGATGACTGCTGTTGGCGTATGGAAGATGGTGAGGAGGAGGGAGGAGGAGGAGAGGTGTTACTGTTTGGAAGGGGAGTCCCCTTCCATTATAACATGAGGCAGTGAGGACTTCACTGGTGTGCACACTCTGGCACGTTTTGCCTGCATACCACTAGGACTGGCTTGTCTTACCCTTCCATTATAACATCAGGCAGTGAGGACTTCACTGGTGTGCACTCTCTGGCACGTTTTGCCTGCATACCACTAGGACTGGCTTGTCTTACCCTTCCATTATAACATCAGGCAGTGAGGACTTCACTGGTGTGCACTCTCTGGCACGTTTTGCCTGCATACCACTAGGACTGGCTTGTCTTACCCTTCCATTATAACATCAGGCAGTGAGGACTTCACTGGTGTGCACTCTGGCACGTTTTGCCTGCATACCACTAGGACTGGCTTGTCTTACCCTTCCATTATAACATGAGGCAGTGAGGACTTCACTGGTGTGCACTCTGGCACGTTTTGCCTGCATACCACTAGGACTGGCTTGTCTTACTAAGAATCTGTCTAAAGATGCTTGTTTTTCCCTACATTTTAACACTTGTCTGTAGTAAGACATCATCACATTGTCATTTAAAAGGTCAATGCAACGGCCTGCTACAGCTTTATCTGGGCGAGTTTTTTCAACAAAACTTTGTAGTTCTTCCCATACTTCACACATTTTCTTAATGAAGAAGGGACATCCTCTACTGCCTTTACTAACAACTATTTACTTAGGTTGAACCTTACCACTGACTTTCTTGGGACCCATGGCGAGATATATAATAACAACTTTTATGCTCAAATGGCCAAAAATTCGACAAAAAGCTGTAAATCCTTGTGAATAATTCAGGCGGGATAGTCACTGGGCGCAAGGCACTGGTAAACTGAGGCGCGATCGCCGTGCCACCACACGCTAGTCAGCCTGTATGCGTATCAACACCCTCGTCTTCCGAGGCAAATTTTCTGAGCAAATCCTGCTCATATTCCAAAAAATTCGTATACAGGGACACTCGTATTCCGAGGTACCACTGTAATTGTAAGCAATAAATGCTATTTACATGCTTGTCCTCCTACACTCCCAAGGTTAGGTTAGGTCGTGGTTTTCTATACAGCTTTTCAGGTAAACTCTAATATTCACAATATTTTGATGCGATGGTGGCGATTAAGTGTATTTATGTACTATGCCGATAGTCAGGATTGTACTTATTACATTTAGTATTAAAACGTACTGTCTATTCTGAGGATGGGATGCAAAATCACAGGGAAAAATAAAATATATAATGAACAAAATATAATCTTTTCAAAGCTTTTCACATTTATCTTCCCTGCTTCATTACTGTATAACTAGATCATAATAATTCTGTTAAGTGTTATTCAAGTGGGTCACCACTTTACAGTTTTCCATAGTCAGGGAGATGATGTTTGTTAGGGTTATTGAGGTCCCCCCTCTAAGCCAACTACTGATGACCTTCTCAAAGATGCAGCCCACAACAGTTGACTAACTCTCGGTGATCTATTTATTGCTCAGTAAATAGGCATCATGTGAAAGGAATGTACCTTATCTTGGGTTGATTTTTGGGATTAACATCCCCGTGACCTGGTATCCGACCAGGCCTCCTCGTGGTCTCTGTCCTGCTCGAGGATTGAACCCAGGATCCTCGATTGTGAGCCGAGGACCTAGACCACTGTGCTAGAACCAATCGTATGGTGATTACTTTGTTACTGCAATTCTATACATTTGTAGATGTTATTGTAATTATAAATATATGATGCATGCTCATATGGAGATTTATTGCAATCTTAAACATTTCATTGCATGGAGAAGGCGAGTAGTTTTGGATGGTGTAAAGTAAACAAATAAGTAATGAACTTTGATTACAAATTGCTGTTGATGTATACTTGAGGAAGCTATTCTGTTGCACTGATTAAGAAAAATAGAGTAATCTTAAAGGTGAAAGAAGTAGCTGAAATGAAAATATATTTTTGCAGGGGTTCTCCGACTTTGTGTTCAGGTGGTATCTAGAGACGGGTAAGCGAGGGCGACTTCTGAGCCATGGGGCTCAGGGGGATCTGTCCCGCTTCCTTCAAGACTACACTTCTCTGGCCTGGCTCCACCACATTAAGACGAGAGATTTTACAGCTGCTCACACAACGCTACGGCAGTTGGCACTAGAAGAATCGGCATATCTCAGTAGGAAAAAGGTAGCATAGCATTTGTTAAGGATTTAGATTTTATTGGCTTACATGTTTATTTTGCTCTCGAGCATCTGTCTCCATACTGTCTTCCGGACCACGGGTCGGAAATCATTATATTGATAAGGTGCTTGCTTAATTTAATGTGAATTTAGTGTATAACTGTACAGTATTTAAATGCAGTCAAGGTGTTAAGATACAGCATAAGTTACGGGTATAAATATTTACATTTGTTCCAACCAAATACTGTAATGTCTACTGTTGTGTTCAACTGGCATACACAGAGCCTGTGTGGTGGGCTGGGATCTCTGAATATATCGACGGTTATCTCTATTGGAGTTTCAGGATGTTCTGCTGCAAATGGTGATGGTTATTCTCTGTATGTCTCGTGGAATTCTATAAATGTTTGGACCATATACCTGTAGTAGCCTGGTCGTTTATTGATCCATAGTCATTTCTCACTGGTATGGACACATCATACTTGGGTTCCCTTGGTGCACTCGCCTGGCCCCAGGCCGGGCTCGGGGAGTAGAACTCCCGAAACCCTCTCCAGATTTATCTTGCTCAACCTTCCTGCAGTACACTCACTGCTTATTCAACCTTCAATTGAAGGAAGTTGAATTCCTACATCTGTATCATCAAGCGTAGGTATTTGTGGAACAAAGTTGGCACTGTCATCCCACAGGAGTATATCCTTGCTGCTTAAGGCGCCGCCTCCACCCCCAGATATACCGCCACTGGTATGAATCCAACCTCCAACAAGACCATGTGGTTGAAGCTTTTCTAATATACACAGGGCAGGCACATGCAATTGACCACGAGGTCAATCTTTCTTTGATTTTCCCATTCGACTTCACGTGGCATCTTTCTTTGCAGGGCGAGCTACTAATGCAGCATAGCTCTGCCTAGTAACACCATGAAAATCGCTTCCACTAGCTATAGCACAGCTGTTAATATTGGAATCCTGGTCACTAAATCCAGAAAGAGGCATTTTCACTGCCAATGGGGAAGAGGAACAGCAGGTGGGACAGTTGCTGTATGGGATGCTGCGGCAGTGGCAAAATAGACTGGGCCTGTGGTGACTGACGGTGGAGTAAGTTTCGCCTTCCAGGTGCTAGCTGGTTCAATTTCACCGTTTGTCTTGCTTGTATCAGATTTTTTGTGTATAATCTTTATCACTATCAGGATTATCATCATTTCTAGCATTTTCGATTGATCCTTGTGAATTTCCTCAACTGTGAGTGATACTGTAGAGCAAGCCACACGGCAGCACTGTGAGCCAGAGGTGGGTGCCTCGCTTATGGTGGCTGTATACAAACTAAGGCCTATGGCAAAATATGGGAGCCTGTGATTTTTTCTGGGGGAGCCCCCTACGAGAGCCCCTAAGGCTCCCCGGAGTTATCCAGGTCGATAGAGATAGTCATAACTTTTGGCATCAGTCGATGTGGGTGGAGTTCTAGGCCTACCGGGAACCACGGCCAGAACCTGGCCCCTTCAGAGGCACGAGGAGCAATGGCCCATAGAAATGCACATGTGATTTTGGAGCATTCTATATCTTCCATCGACTGCGACAGGCACCCAGAAAGGTAAGCGCCTCAAAACAAACCATTATTCAGGTGAAACCAACAAAAATAACGAAACAAGTGGACAGAACTCCCCCAGTTGAAAATGAGCAAACGAGCATGATGTCTCACGAGCCGCGCTGCATGTCTGTGCAGCTCCCCCCTTCCCTGGGAGGGGAAAGGGGGAGCCCCAGACCCCCGCACCGGCAATCCACACCTCAGTTCCTCGGTTGATGGGATAAGGCTTGATCGTTGTGGCTCCAGCTCCAGATTCTTATTGTGCTGTGCCTGGGTTCAGTACAGTACTTCTCTTTGGTGGTGTGTGAGCTGGGAGTACATTTCCTAGGTATTTGGGCTGCGTGCGCTTAGGACTTCCCTAAGTGCCCTGTAAGTATACCCCGAGGAGCTTGGGGTTACCTTCCACAAGTCGCCTTGGGTGTACCTCTTTTTTTTTTTTTTTAGATATATTTAAGAGTATATTTTGTATATTGAGATATACAGTATACAAGATATATTTAATAGGGAGCCGGTCGGCCGAGCGGACAGCACGCGGAACTTGTGGTCCTGGGTTCGATCCCAGGCGTCGGCGAGAAACAATGAGCAGAGATTCTTTCACCCTATGCCCCTGTTACCTAGCAGTAAAATAGGTACCTGGGTGTTAGTCAGCTGTCACGGGCTGCTTCCTGGGGGTGGAGGCCTGGTCGAGGACCGGGCCGCGGGGACACTAAAAGCCCCGAAATCATCTCAAGATAATCTCAAGAAGAGTTATTACATTCTTGTACAGCCACTAGTACGCGTAGCGTTTCGGGCAAGTCCCTGGAATACGATCCCCACCGCGAAGAATCGTTTTTACAACCAAGTACACATTTTACTGTTGAGTTAAACAGAGGCTACAGTTAAGGATTTGCGCCCAGTAAATCCTCCCCGGCCAGGATATGAACCCATGACAAAGCGCTCGCAGAACGCCAGGCGAGTGTCTTACCACTACACCACGGAGACTGGTGGTGCTTGGTGATTGACCACCCCGAGTGTTTTGGGAGGGGGGTTCCTCCCTAGTTTGCCTTAGGATAAGTGGTAGTTTTTGCACTGGTAGAGGTGTGAGGTACTGCATAGCTAATTTTCACCTATAACAGTGGCTGGCTCTGTTCCCTCTGGGTATGCTGTCCTCTTGCAATTTTTTTTTTTTTTTTTTTTTTTTTTTGCCTGGGGGGGGTCTGCCTTTGTGTTCCTCCCCCCCTTATATTAGGGTTGTTTGTTGGTGGTACCCTCTGCTTCGCCCTCGTGAGTGGACACGTCCCGGGGGGTTTTAGCATTATCAGTGTCTCAGGGCGACGCTCTTGCCTGTCGAGTCGGTGACGCGTTTGACCCAGAGTCCTGCGAGCTTTGTTGCTTGTATGTGACTCGGTGCACTCAATCTGATGATAATATTTAGGTACAGGCAGCTCGCGTGTTGCAAGATAGGTTTAGGTTGCTGCAGCGCGCTAGGTTGGTTGCTTCCCCAAAGCTGCCCCGTTTTGTTTATAGGGACCCGGACTTGGGGGTGTTAGTCGCTTCGGCCTTGGTTCCTGCTGCACTCCCTCGTTCTTCCTCTGCTGTGGTTCAATCGGTCCCCCTCCCCCCCATCCTTGCTTCCGGGTCCTAAACGTCTGAAGGCTTTGGGGTTGGGGCAGGGTTTAGTGGTTTCCGAGACTCTGGCAGTTTCAGGGGCTGCCCTTTCTGGGGTGGCTGCGAAGGCATTCGAGTCAGTTCCTCCAGCTATAGCTCCAGGGTCAGACCAGTGGGCCCATCCTCTTCCTGCTGTTCCGACTGCCTCAGATTTTTTTGCGAGACTGAGGTTTTAGAGGACAACTCGGTCCCGGGTTCGAGTCCCCAGGAAGTTCCCGGGGTTGGGGAGGAGCTGAATTGGGGGCCTTGGGTCCCGTTGGACCCCGCCTGGGTTTTCAGACACTCCGAGCAGGGCTTGCCGTTACAAGCAGTGGGGTTTTCCTTTCCCCCTCTGCGTACGACTTTGATTTGGGTTCGGCTCCTCCCCGGGTTCAGTGCCATGTCCCTGCGGGTTTCTTCGGTTCGGTCCTTCCAAAGGTTTTCGGCTTCCCGTGTCTCTCTGGCTGAGGTCCGGGCTGCCATTGCGGTATACCTCCTGCGGGACCCGGATTATGCCTCAATAATGGATCCGTCTTCCTTCAGGTTTGGGTCTTTGTCTCCATACTGGGTTCTTTATGAGGTTTCTGAGTCGTCCTGGCTAGCAGACTGCCCTATGTTTCCGCTGGATGCGTGGAACACCTTCTGTCATACCTGCATGCTTGAATGGCGTGAGGCATTGACTGTGGTCCAGGTTTACCTGGGAGCGACTTTGCACACCTTAATGAGTTCCTTTTCGCTCCAGCTCTTCTGCAGGATGTTGGCATGGTTCAACTTCATGTGCAGGTCCCCTCCTTGTCGGCAGCACTTGTGACTGAGGGTGTACCTGGGACTTGCTCGCACAAGGCTCGTTGTCTTCAGTCCTGCGTTTCTTTTCCCTCCTTGAGTTGTCTTCGGATTGGCTTACGGAGGATGTAGAGGCGCTTGAGGTCGTTCCTGGGTCTAGTGCCTTGGCCTTTGCTGCTTGTGTATCGTCTGCACTTTTGAAGCCGTTTGCCCCAATCCTGCAGGATGCGCTCCTGCGGTTTTTCGCTGCGCACTTCGCGTATCAGCAGGTGGTGCTCGCTTCCTCCTTGGAATCCACTTGGGCCCTGGCTCTTAGATTGTCTTCGCCCTTTTTGTCCTTTGTTGTTTGCTACTTCTGCGGTCGAACAGTATATGCCGGCGACCTTTTCCACCTGCCGCCCGATGTCTGACCTGTTGGTTCTCCAGGGGTCCAGGGTGGGTTCCTCCAGGAGGGGTTGTGCCCGCGGTTACGCCCGTTGAGGTCGCCCACAGGTGCCAGTTTCGTAGCCGGTGCAGCCTTCGGTCCTGACTGTGGCTGGTCGACGTGGTACTCGCTTTGTGCGAGGGGATGCTTGCTTTGTTCACTCACGCGTGGTCCCACAATTCGTGGGCTTTTCAGATCGTTTCTTGCGGCCTTCGGTGGCGTTGGGTGGCTCCTCCTCCTTCAGAGGGTTCAGGGCTGTCAGGGCAGACCTCTTCTCCTGCACTCTGTTGGGTCGTTTTGGAGTGAGTGCACTTGGGCGTGGTCAAAATGACGACGTCCCTCAGGTGGGTTTTCTGCCCGTTTCCAGTACTGAAATGGGACTGTGCAGACCTGCGGTTCATTCTGGACTTGTCCCGTCTGAACCCCTGTTTTTTTTTTTTGCCCCTCCTTTCGGATGACCACTCTGTCCTAGGTCCGGCTTCTCTTGGAGCCGGGTGCTTGTATGGTGTCCCTGGACCTCAAGGATGCGTATTGGCACATCCCGATTCTTCCGGGGTTCAGGGACTGGCTCGGTTTTGTTGTGGGGCGTCAGAGTTACCGAGTTGTCTCTCATTCGGGTTGAACCCTGGCACCTTGTGTGTTCACACACAAGGTGTGTGAACACTTTGTGTTCACACACTCAAGTCGTAGTGGCCCATCTGCGTCTGTTAGGTGTTCGGGTGTTGGCTTACCTCAACGACTGGCTGGTTTGGGCTCCCAGTCGGTCTGCGTGTTTGCTCGCCAGGGGTTTGGTGCTTTCCCAGCTAGCCGGGTTCGGGTTCCTGGTGAACTGGCGGAAGTCCCATCTGGTTCCCTCCCAGGTTTAGACCTGGCTGGGTCTTGTGTGGGGCTCTCGGACCACTTCCTTGTCTTTTCTTCCGGAGTCTCTCCTTCGGCTGCGGTCCCGCAGGTGCTTGTTTCTGGAGGGCTCCCGGTTACCCGGCAGTTGCTCGAGGGTCTGTGCGGGAATCTGAACTTTGCAATGATGGTCTACCCGCCGGGTTGGGTTTGACTTCGTCGGCTGTTCTGGTTCCTTCGGGAACGTCCCTTCTGCCTCTCTCGTGATCGCTGGGTTCGACCTCCGGGGGCCTTGCATCGGCTGCTGTGTCGCCGGCTTCCTCTTTGGGTTTTTCGGGGTTCAGTGCCTGGGCACCTACCCGAGCCCCTCGCTCAATGTGTTCACAGATGCATTGTCTCTTGGCTGGGGCTTTTTGACCAGTGCTCACCAGGCCGGCCAGGGGCGGTGGGGTACGTCCTTCCATTGGACCCACCGCACAGTGCGGGAGTTCACGGTAGTGTGGCTTGCGCTTCGGAGGGTTCGTGTCGCCCGCAGATCGACGATCCGGCTCCATTATGACTGCTCCCCGGTGGATCATTGCCTGAACTGAGGGGGTTCGATGCAGTCCTTGGCTCTTTGGGGCTGGTCGCTTCAGGTGACTCGTCTGCTGAGTTCTCGAGGTTTGGCTCTCCTGGCGGTTCACGCCCGAGGGGTGTCCAATGTCCTGGCGGATGGCCTGTCCCAGTTCGTTCCCCTGTCCATGGAATTGGACGGTCAATGCCGACTCATTCAGTTGGCTCTGCCAGACAGTCGAGTGCCCGGAGGTGGACTTTTTCGTCGGCGTGGTCAAGGCGTCTTCCGGTATATGTGGCGCTCTTCCCCAACCGTGAGGCTGTCGGGATTGATGCCTTTCGGCAGAACTGGTCGAGGTTGGGTTTCCTGTACCTCTTCCCCCGGTTCAGCTGTTGCTTCAGGCCCTGGCTTGCTTGGAGACCTACCAGGGGCGAGTAGTCCTCTTGGCCCCGTGGTGGCCGGCCCAGTCCTGGTTTCAGGTGATGCTTGCCCAGTGTTCGAACTAGAAGGTTTTTCTGCGGCTCCGCCTCTTTCAGAAGATCGGCCCAGTCTGTTAAGAAACTGGTTCGCTCCTTTCTCCTCGAGTCTTCGCGTTTGGTATTTTTTCTCAAGTTTATCACCATTTGTATGGTGATCAGGTGGCTTCATTGATGGTGTTCCACCTGCGGACTTCGTCTCGGTGGCAGTTTGAAGTTTCCTGGTGTTCCTTCAGTTTCCTTTTTGACTCTTAGTTTTTGTACTTAGCTTTTGCTTCAGGTGGTATTGTCCTTTCTCTCGTGATTGTTCCAGGACCGTCATCTTATCCAGGACCGTCATATTTGGCATCTTATGCCAAATACTGGTACTGTCGCCTCTTATCATGCGGCGCTGGCGGAGCCGCTTCAGCTTGCTTTCGGTATAGATGTTACTTCTGCGCCGATTCGCAAGCTGTCTTGGGCGTTGTTTCACCTCCGGCCTGCTCATCTGCTGCTTGAGCCATCCTGATCTTTGGACAGAGTGCTCTCTTTTCCTCGGTTTGTTGTGGCCCCTTCGGTTCAAGATTGTTTTTCGAAGGCTCTTTTTTTTCCTGTTGGCATTGGCCTCTGGGGGGTCAGGTTGGTGAGCTTCATGCTCTCCTCCGACGCAGGGATTCCTGCTCTTTCGGTCGTGGAGATAAGTTTGTTCGTCTGCAGCCTTCTCCTTCTTTTCTGGTGAAGAATGAGACTGCTGCTTTTCGGAGGGGTCCTTGGGTTGTTTATGCTTGGTTGGTCAGGCCGGGGGTGCATCATGTGTTGTGTCCGGTTGTGGCCCTCCGCCGTTATTTGTTCGCCACAACTTCTGTGTCCGGGGATGCGCTTTTGGTTGATCCAGTTTTCCTTCTTCCTTGTTCGCAGGACGGGTCTCTCAGGTCATCCGCAGGGTTATTAAGTCTAGCCAGCCTGCAGTTCTATATCCGTGTCCATGACATTCGTCAGTTCACTGCTCTTGCTGCCATCTTTGGGAACATGTCCTGGGCTGACATTCGAGCACAGGGTTTTTGGCAGTCGAACAGGGTCCTGGCTGCACGCTACCTCGTTAACGTTCCTGGGCCTAATCAGGCCTGTCTCGCTTTGGGTCAGCGGCTGCAGCTTGTCTCAACTTGGAGTCAAGTTGGGGAGCACCTACCACCTCCTCCCGTAAGTCCCCTTCTTTCCTTAGTCTTTGGTGAAGTAGCTCCGGGGAGCCGTAGGAGCTTCCTCCCAGAAAACCAGCGTTGAATATAATGAAATTCCATTTTCTGGGTTAGTCGCGGAGGCTTCCCGGCATCCCTCCCTCCCTCCTGCCGGCAGTTTTTGCGTATTTTTATGTGCAGCCTCGGAACTGATTGCCGGCGCGAGGGTCTGGGGCTCCCCCCCTTTCCCTTCCCGGGGAGGGGGGAGCTGCGTAGACATGCGGCGCGGCTCGTGTGATGTCATGCTCATTTGCTTGTTTTCAATTGGGGGAGTTCTGTCCAATTGTTTCATTATTTTCGTTGGTTTCACCAGAATAGTGGTTTGTTTTGAAGCGCTTACCTTTCTGGGTGCCTGTCCCGGTCGATGGCAGATATAGAATACTTCAAAATCAGATATGCATTTCTATGGGCCATTGCGCCTCGTGCCTTTCGGGGGGAAAGGGGGGGGGGCAGGTTCTGGCCGTGGTCCCTGGTAGGCCTAGAACTCCACCCATGTCGACAGATGCCAAAAGTTAAGACTATCCCTATCAGCCTGGATAGCTCCGAGGAGCCTCTGGGTCTCGCCCAGAAAATGGCGTTTCATTACATTCAACGCTGGTTTTTTGTGTTTTCATACATTTTGCATTCAAATTAATAATTCTGTAATTAAAAATAATTTTTTGGAATTGTTTTATTTTTTGCACATAGTCAGGAATGACCATTTTGATATAGCTGCTGTCTGCGGGTTTAAAAGCACTGCAAGCCATCTCTGAGTTGATATCTTAACATTTGTTTTTAAAAATAAGCAATGATTCGACAAAAAATCATATTTAAATACACAAATTTATAACGTTTTCATGGATTAATCTCAAATTTTGCGGTTGTAGACAAGAACTTAGCAAGATTCGGAAGATCTGCAGGGGTAAACACTAGCATGTAATAAGATACAAAGAATCTGTATGGTTGTGGAGCTCGCTCATCCATTATTCTTCCTGTTCACTTCCTCCTATTACTGATCCTTTTGCCTGTGGCAGTGGATGTACTTTTAAAAGAATATATGTTCAACAAGGATTAAGGGAGACATATTTCTTCTCTGGAAATAGATTTTATTCAGTTTAATTTTAGACCTCTGCAAATTGGTATGGAAAACAGCAAACAGAATACCACTACACAGATCAGAAGTTTCCTATGCTTGCTTTAAAGCCTTTGCAAGTGTCCGTGTTCCAATGATTCATTTTATTCCTTACTAGTGCACAATTTAAACCAATAGATACACCATGTTTACAATTGAAACTTGTGTATTTCTTTCCAGTATTTCCTTGTAACACACACACACACACACACACACACACATACACAGTCTTGCATCTTGCTATTTGTGTTCATAGACTTCTTACTTTCAGACTCTGCTGAGTTTAAGCAAGCTGTGTCATCTTGCATCCAGCATACCTGGAACAGGAGAGACGAATTTGCTGGACGATGACACTATGAGATTAGAAGAGGAACTTATCGTCTATCAGGAGCAGCTGCCCGAGCCAGTTCTTACGGCACACTCCCTCGACCCAGACAGTATGAGAGTCCTGTCTCCCAACGAACTTGTTCATGTACGTCCAGGGTATCAGTCTTGATTTGTAAATACTGTACTGTACGTATATTTGTACGTGCTTCATTGTAGGCATCTTGATTTGTTGTGTTGTCTGTATAGGAAAACATTTTTAAACCACACTTATTGGTGTGCAGGAAAGTGCACAAGTGTGCATCTGTGTCATCAGATGCTCAAGATAACTTCAAGATATCTGAGGTAGATGTGAGGTAGTCTTCTAAGTGAGTTAGAAAGTGAGGTAATTTATATAAAGTAAAGGAGACCAACTGAGGAAAATAGTGCATGTAAATAGATTTTTTTCTGTACTTCAAAAGTGCAGCAAATGAAGTAGTACATATTATATTACATTTGGAAGGGATAGAAGAGTAAGGATTTAGGATAGGACAAAGGGAAGGAATGGTGCTCAACCACTTGGGGCAGTCATGGCTTGAATGCCAACCTGCAAGAAGCAAGACCGTCACTCTATCAACCAGTCCAAGTGGTTGGGCTTTATGGAGCTAATTGTTTTCTCATTCATATCAATCCTTTTCTACAGCTATATACAAGTGAAGAAAATGTTTATGCCAATGAATTCGACTTCAAGAAGGCACTGGACCTGCTGGCATTTGTGCCAGAGGATGAGGTGCCTGAGCTCAAGCTAGAAATTTGGACTCGAGCCATCTTGAGAAACTCTTGGGAACATATGGACACGGATAATCCTCTGGAGGCCATCAGTGACACCCTTCTCTTCAAGACCATAGAATTAGCATTTTCCCAAGGTAATAACTATTGTACTGGGAATGATCTTCCCATTAAAGATCATGGAAGTACCTTCCAATGCTATGGTAGAGGGAGAAGGCATTGCTGGGGACCCATCCTATCTAATCTCACACTTATCCATGAATGTCAGAGATGAAGGGGGGGTAATGATGCCGAATAAAATAACATTAAATATCTCTCTCTCTTACTTCTATATACTCTCTAGACTTTGATTACAAGATCAGTAAAATTATACACGGAGAGAGAGCACAATTACCACACATTCTTGCATTTAAAAATATACATTGTTATTGCAGGGAGTGACATCCAGGAGCTGTTGATACCTGTTGAGGAGCTACTTGCGTGTGACAAACTTGACAATCTACGAGAAGATGCTTCATTTAAATTCCTTGTCAATGCTGGCTATGAGAAGATTAATCAGCTCATTTGCTGACAGTGTAATGTCAGAATTTTGTGGTTGAGGCAGAGAGATGCACTCTACAATGGTCCTTATAAATTTGAAACATTCATATTAAATCTCTCTAGATAGAATGCAGTGATTTGTGTCTTGAAGAAAAGCTGCTCTTGAATGAAAAATGGATTGTAAACTTAGAACACATACTGGAGCAGATTAATAATTTTTTTATTTGGCACATTCTGTTGGTTTACTTTATTTTTATATTTTTTTTTGATGCATAAACACATTAGGATGTTTTTAAATGTGTGTGAAAGGTAGTTTTAATTATAAGACATTTTATTACCATTTGTAAGGATTAAATTTCATTATTTCCAGTATTACATAACAAAGTTTGTTGTATTATTTACCCAAGAAGCAGTACACAAAAGAATGTTTTTTGCGTATGGATCAGTATAATGTTTATACTGATAAAAGAAAATATACTTTTATGATAAAAGTCTGGACAAAAACATAAGATTTTGAAGCCAAAAATAGTGGGAAATAAGATGGTTGTGGTGTGGAAGGGATGGTGTCAGAGGGAGATACTTTTAATCTTGATGCACCAGTGTATTGCATGGTGTCCTCCCACCCATATTGAGGGTTCCAAATAACCTGCAAATAATGCTTTGCCTCTCATTTTGCTCTCACGTGCCACAGGATCTTGAGAAATGATTTTATGATTTTGGAGCTTAGCGTCCCCACGGCCCGGTCCTCGACCAAGCCTCCTTTTTGTTACACACCCCCAGGAAGCAGCCCGTAGCAGCTGTCTAACTCTCGGGTACCTATTTACTGCTAGATGAACAGGAGCTTCGGGTTGAAAGAAATTCTGCCCATTTGTTTCCACCTTCACTGGGGATCGAACCTGGGACCTTAGGACTATGAATCCCGAGCGCTGTCCACTCAGCCATCAGACCCCCTGTACTGGGGACCTACAGACATGGATATCTTCTGACTCCTGTCTGCAGGCTTTGTGCTTTCTTTTCTCATAGCTCATGGTAAGCTTTACACTGCTAGTTTCATTTGGAATACCACTTGCCAGTAACTTGACTACCAGTTCTCAATTAATACAGCGTTGAATTGTTAAGGATTGCTGCCTCATTAATTCTCCTTGGCCAGGTCCTGAACCAGAACAAAATCAGTAGCCTAGCCTCGATGTTGTAGATACTGTTTGCACCTGGTATAAATACTAGCAAGCATCGGAATACGAAATAAATTGCAATAACAGTAATGTAAATGCAGCAGAGTGAGATTGGGGGGGGGGGGTTGTGAATTACACAATGCCATGCTGATGATGTATTACTTTGTCACTTTGAGTTGCCATTTGGAACAAATTTCTTGCTAAAGTGCCTAGAGTCTGGTAAAAATGTGGTGATGATGGTGGGCATGAATGCACATGTTGGCATTCATGGGGCAGAGTAGTGCTTGCTTTCTGTGGACATGTTTAGTTCATTAGTTACATGCCCCCATATACCCTTCCTGTGGGTGGTATTGGAAAAATGTTAAGAGGCACATAATGGGCTCAGGAACTAAGCCCAGAATTCATTTAGCTCAGCAAGTACAGCCTTGATAAGCTAGTTATATAGTGTAACATAATACACATACAGCAACAGTTTTCATAGTACATACACTGTACAGTATTCGTAGCGGGTACACTGTGTATCCAAGTCTTAGTCCACATCTCATCAATTATGCAGCTGGAAATTATACCAGAGCAAATTGAACAATTCAAAGAGAGAATAAGTTATCCTAATAATGAAATATGCTTTCAAACAAAACCAGAATAAAATATAATGGCATTATTCGTAAGCATAATAAGAAATATCATGCGACTGTCTTGTTGAAAATGCATACTAATTGTATGCAAACACAGCAGATAATTTAAACACATGGAGTACTTCTCATCATGACGCCGATTACTTCCATACTTGATCTTAATCCCAGCCATTATGATCATGAGGCCTTGGTACCTCGACAGACTTTCTGGGTCCCTCTGGAGAAAGTGGAACATTGTCACTGGGTATCTCGCACTGTAATTCAAAACTGAATACTAAGGTGAGTAAAGTAATCTATTATTCTTGTCCTATTGTCATTTTTTGTGATCGGACTCGACATCATGTGCTCATGTTGCCTCGTGGAAATTCTCAAGTAGGTAGTTTGGCCCCTGAAATTTGGATGTCTTTGCCTTGTGTACTGAAAGGTATTGTCCTCAGTACATTACAAAGGACACCATTTTGTATCGGGGTCCTTATGTGTCGCGCACAATCTTGCTACAGATGTAGGCCTTAGTGTGTGCCAGTTGGAACTTCCTTCATGTTCTCCATGCCACACGAGAGTGATGTTTCATGATATCTACATGGCAGAGGGAGGAGGTCTAAGAGATATTTCACTTAATGTCACCATGTCGGACATGGGCCATAGAGTATGATCTCTAGCCACCTGTGGTGTTCTGTGACTACTGGAAGACCGGGGCCTAGTATGCACACCACTGGTTGCTCTGGTAATCGGGTCCTGGTAAAGCACAAAAAAAATAAAACTTCTCTGGGTTCATGGAGAGGCCCTTTCCAGTCACCCTGGCTGAGAATGCTGCCGCTGTCCCTATGCAGATAGCATTGTTTTCCTGGAGGGGTTTGTCTGTCCCCTACAAAGGTTACATCAGCATGCACAATAACCTGAACACCAGGAAACACCAGTATATCATGAGGAAATTATCGAGTAAGAGTGCTGAGGATTGCACTCTGCAGGATTCTGTGCATAACGTAGAGATTATCTCCCACTGACATCTGGAAGAGCAACCTGGCACATAGTTTTGGAACCAATGTAGTGCGAAGGGCTCCTGTGAACTGCACTACGGGATGTAATGTCAAAACCTATTGAAACCAGAAATGCCACAAAGAGAACTCAAGTTCAACATGTTCTTGATACTGTGTTTCAAGGAGAGTAGACTGTCCTTTGTGCTCCTTCCTAGACAAAATCCACAGAAGCCCTCAGGAAATCTGAAGTCTCCATCAACCACAGTAGATGGTAGTAAACAAGGCATTCCATTAATTTACTGATACATAGAAGCAGGCTAACGGGTTTGTAAGAACTGCGGACAGGCGAAGCCTACCCAGACCCAAGGAACGAGAAATAGGGCACACTTTCATGGATCGGGGAAGCACCCAAACACCAGCAAATATTAAAGAAGACCAGGTGTTAATGCACAGCCACTAGCACCTGACATAAGAATTTGTTTGGAAGACAGTTTTCACCTGGAGTCGTGTTTGATTTGACAAGTGACGGAGTATCCTTCAGTTCCCTGGGTGAAAATGGGTGATCAAGGGCCCCAGCAGTGAAATGTTTGAGCTACTCTTTGCTTTCCCATAATCATACTACCACTGGTATCCTGAAGTGGTAAGGGAGGTCGTGAATAGTGCCCCATCATTTTTCACACAATGGCTCAAGCACCCAACAAAGTGCAATTGTTATTCTGCTTGACTTAATCTACTCAGTCCTTGACAATAGTGAGTTTCCGATTGAACTCTTCATTGACCTGAGAAAGGCTTTTGATACTGTTAATCATAACTACCTCCTTAAACTATACCATTACGGAAACCGAGGCCTTGCCGTGAACTATATCCGATCCTATCTTAGTGACAGACACCAATATGTAGCCACCAATGATATAACACCTCCCACTCTACCACTAATCGTAGGGGTGCCACAGGGCAGCATCCTAGGACCCCTCCTATTTCTTATATACATCAATGATCTGCCTAATGCCTCTAACATGCTTAAACCTATATTGTTTGCTGATGATATAACCCTCATCAACTCAAGACCCCAACCCACTCATATTAAATAATGTTGTAAACAATGAATTACAAAAAGGTCCACTTATGGATGTCAACCAACAAACTCACTAAACATAGAAAAGACCTACTACATATTATTTGGAAGCAAATCAACTAATGCAATTCAGCTTCAGATAGACAATTTTTTTTTTTATTTTGCCCCGAGGGGCGAGTTTATTGGGCAGCGCCACTCATCTTCTGAGTGGACACACCGCCATAGTAGCATGTACAATACTCCCCAATAGGAAGAAAACCCGCTGGGTTGTTCATCCTGTCACTTGTACCCAGACACAGCTGGGATTTGCTTAACTGTCTCAAGTGAACAGCTCCTCAAACAAGAAGATTAACATCTATCAACCCTTAAAAGCTTACGTTATCTTGCGGGTGCAAAATGGGGAAATCTTTTAAGAACAGTATCAATATTTGACAAATAGTGTTTTCCTAACTCAAACAATGTGGGGTTTATTATTCTGCACATATTTCTGATTTCTCTCAGGTGTTCACATTCACGTAGATAGTGGTCAAGGCGGTGTCCATCACTCTCACCACAGATTCTGCAACTTCGCTGATCAACTGTTGTTTCCATTCCATATCTCCATGGATATTTGTATCCAAGACGGATTCTCGCTATTACTGATTCTCTCCCTCGTCCTCCTCCTCTTCGGCCATAATGATTGGGATTGCCAGCTGCAACCATGTTGTACCATCGTACAGATTTGCTGGTTTGTGCTTCTATCCTCCTTTCCTCAGTTACCTTGTCACGGTGATGTTGCCTGACAATACCTCTAATTTGTAGTAGAGTCTTGGGTATGAAGTATTCAATATGGTCTCCTTCATCGCCTTCAGCAGCCAGCACATCTGCTCGTTCATTCCCACATATCCCAACATGGGAGGGGATCCACAGAAACTTGATGACTCTTCCCTGATTGGTAAGTACTCTCACAGCTCTCTTAATTTCAGCAACTATTGCAAGATTTTCTGCCCGATTTTTACTTAGGCTTTGCAGTGCTGCTTTTGAATCGGTGCAAATCACTGCACCATTAGTGTTCCGTTCAAGAAACCTTAGCGCCATAACAATGGCAGTTAGCTCTGCTTGCGTTGAAGAGGCATAGTTCTCAATACGTGCTTTTTCTTCATTTCTGCGTTGGAAAGTATTATCCTTGATTACCGTGTATGCTGCACCAGCCCTGCCATTGACAGGATTAGATGACCCGTCAGTGTAGATTTGATCTAGTTCATCTCTGGCTTCTTTATAAATTTCCTCGAGATACTTGTGCCTCATTTCTTGTGGTAACATGTTGGATTTTTTCATTGCCATTTCATTGATGATGATCTTGCATGAGTCATCCTCCCAGGGAGATAACCTCTCTACAGGCAGGAGCTCACGGGCTTGCTCAAGCAGGTGAAGCTCTTCGAGGTTGCAGAGTGATCTGTGATGCCATTTTTTGCTTCTCCTGTTTCCCCCTGAAAGTAGCACAGAGCTCAGTTTTTTCTTAGCAATATCATTGAAATGGGGATCT